AAGTGGTGATAGCCCAACCTGGCAGGTCAGAGTAACTGCTCTGACAGGTGGATTTTGGCAAGACCATGAGATTAACTAAAATGATTTGGGCGAAGCCGCAGTAGAAAAATAAAAACATAATTCCATGATAGAAAAAACAAGAGACAGATGAGGGCGTCGCACAAGAGAGAAAGAACTTGTTAGCTTTGAAAACACAGCCGGGTCAGGTTTCCGGGGATCAGGTAGACCCAGCAAAAGATTTTGTTGCTCAGGAAACTCTGGGGCAGAAATTTCCAATCTGGGATCCACGTGCCCTTGGAGGGGTCCAGAGAAGGGCTTCGGGGAGCCCCTGAGATTATAAGCAAATCGTTGCATTTACACGCATGTTGGGGAGACAGATATTCACGGGAGTGCATTCACCCCAGAAGGCTGAGAAGCATGTTTTGGGGGGCACAGTTCACTAGACAGACATTTAGAGTGAGAACTGTCACTTATTCAAATCCAGGAGGAAATTTAGGGCTTCTGCATTCTACCTGTCCCTTCCCAGCAAAGAAAACAGAGACACAGAGATGTTGAGTTAATGTGGCCAAGCAAGGATTTTCACCAGCTACTTATTGACTGAAATATAGCAATACGGTACTTAGGGACTCTAGATGATCTGTAAGACTCAGGAAAAAAATGAGGAACCGTGGACCACAGAAAAGCCCCCTTGAAAGGCCGTTGAAATCTCCAATTATCCCAAGTGGTTGTGATCACTCCTTTGCTCTTCTGATGCACCTCTTATATCACACATAGAGCACTATACCAATTACCCTACAATTTACATTATACTGTCTTCTCAACCTTAAATGAACTTCAGAGAGTTGCTCTTGAATCCTTGGGATTATTGACATTTCAGGTTGGATGATGCTTGTTGGATTTTCCTCGTTGTCGGGCTATCCGGTGCATTGTAGGATGTTCAGCAGTGTCCCTGGCCTCTACCCACTAGACACCTGGGCTGTCATCCCCACCCCCACCCCCGCCCCCACCCGCCGTTGTGACAACCAGAATTGCCGCCAGACAATGCAAAATCACCCCTGTTGAGAACCACTGCCTCGTAACAAAGGTATTCTAACATCTGTCACGATTCGACATTGCAGGTTGCTTAGGCAGGGGCTATACCTTGAACAACATAAGCTCCGTGCGCTGAATGTATCAGCTCAATAAAAGGTCAGTGTTTGCGTTCCTGGATTCTGCAGGCCACATCCAGTGGTTCCGAATAAACAGCGGGTTAACGGCTTTGAAAGAGAAGAAAATCAAAAGGGAACATTTCATTCCACTTGTTCTCTCAGGCACTCCTGAGTTCTGCACTAGGAACAAGTTAAGCCTTTTATTATTATTTTTTTGAGCGGTAAAATATAGGTTGTCAGCTTCTCCAGCATGATAAGGAAGAATACAATTAGAATCTTACCCAAATGAGGTTTTCCTTTGGCCTCACACAATGCACTCCATTCAGAGTTCTGCACAAAGAGAACAAGTCCCCCTACTTCCTTCATATTCTTTAAACTGGGAGTTTGGAAAGGGCCCAGCACTCCCCGTAAAATTTTTTTTTAAATTGTCCCTCTTAATAGTTACCTCTTAAAATAAGCGTGGTGGAACACAACTTTAACACTCTAAAATAAACTGTGCCCTTATGAAGGATTCCAAGTAAAGCTGATGAGCCCCCCCTCCATTTTTTGTTCTTTCTCACCCCCACTACTGTGCCTTGCGTGGTTCTCAGAGTAGCTACGTATGCAAAGAATATAAACAGTGAGGAAATACATTTCAAGCCAAATCTTAGAGGTAGGCAAATTCATTCCCACCCTTTCGATCGTATGGCCTTAACAAGATGGCAATAGGGACGGGGCTGGGGGTGGGCAGCGGCTGGAAGAAGCGGCCGGTGGGCTGCAGCGCAGATGGGTTGGCGCGAAGGATTAAGTAGAGGTTACAGATTAAAAAGTTTCACCCCATGAGGAAGGGAAAACTAGTGCTAAGACACCATCCTCAGGGATGTTGAAAGGAGAAAATCTCCGAGTCATGGAAGCCGAAATTCTGCCAGAAAGGCCAGAGCCTGGAGGAAGGTAGGGTCTGAGATCTACCCACCTGTGCTCCCCCAGCCCCACCCCCAGCCCCACCCCCCGCAGGTTCCAGCAGGTGGCGTCCTTGTGTTTAGTTACTTTTAATAAGCTTTATTTTAAAATATTAAAATATTTAAATATTTTAATGTCAGGCTTAAAACTGCAAGAAGAGGAGAGTTTGCATATAACCTCCCACCTGTTTCCCCTCGTTGTTAACATCTTACATTACAGGGAGGATTTGTCAAAACGAAGAAACTGACATCAATATATTATTTATTTTTAACTAAAAGGTTTATTTCCTTTAACATAAAAACATTCACACACATTTGCTTGAGGGCTCAGCTGTTAGGGGTGCAGGCTCGTGGTTCCCTTGAGGGCACGGGAAAGACCAATCTTCATTTCCATGTAATAGTTAGATGCTCCTGTTATATCCATGCTAAAGAACAGACCCCAGGGACTCCTGGGGGGGCTCAGTCGTTAGGCATCTGCCTTCACCTCAGGTCATGATCCCAGGGTCCTGGGATCGAGCCCCGCATCGGGCTCCCTGCTCAGCAGGGAGCCTGCTTCTCCCTGTCCCTCTGCTTGCCGCTCCCCCTGCTTGTACTCGCTCTCTCTCTGTCAAATAAATAAATAAAATCTTTAAGAAAGAACAAACCCCAGAACAAGCCTTATTCTCCAGCATTTGAAGCATTCCTTCCCTCCCCAGACATTGTCAGTTATACACCTGTAGGGGTGTTTGGGGTCCCAGAGGGACTTCTCATCCTGCACGATGGTGGGCAGTCAGGGCAATTTCCCCTGCACTCTGCCCATGGGGTTCCTTGGGGGGACGGGTTAAAAATCTCAAGAATGGAGCTCCTGGGGCCTCGATCTGGTCATCCCACAGGTACTGGTGGAAGCCCCTTCTTCTACCTATTTGAGAAAATCCTGGGTCTGGCTCAAGAGCGTAGGCAGTTTTGGGGCTCTTGGATGTCCCAGGGGCAGGATTCAGGACAGAGGCTCCTGCCCCACGCCTTTTAGAAAGGTCAGAAGTCTCAGATCTTCTTAGTGGCGAAGTCCTCATTTACTCGTTTTGAAATATAAGCTCTGCTCATGGTTTGTTTGACGGTCTCACAACTGCCTAGGGAAGTGGCTGACAGGCAGATCCTTAAGCCCCAATTCAGTGCATCTGGGATGGATGCTAAAGATTTCTGTTTCTAGCAAGCACTCCAAGATGATTCTGATTCAATAGCTGGTACTTAAGTCAGGCTACGCTGTTTAACTAGCCTGCCCATTCTAAGCACTATAGTTTGGATTGCTGATAGCTGAAGGTATCATTTTTAGCATTCCCCAGAGGGACTCCTTAATTCAGGAATTTATAAATTTTATTTTACTGTCATTCATCGACATACAACTAGGTTCTATTTGCTAAACGCTCGACTCAAGCATGAATGCATATATCACAAATTATATGCACCATTGTTCCAGTGATAAATACCCATTCACTAGATGTGGTCAAGGGAATTGTTCTGCTCTGGGTCCTGGCTCCTGGCTTTCTGCTGATCGTCCAGGATCTGTGTTGGCGATTTGTCCTCTCACATACTGCAGATACGTCTGTCCTAGAATGATTACTCTGTCTTTGGGATTTCTAATAACAAATTGTACGTGTCATCTAAGTCCCCATGGTTTCAGGCTTTCCAAACCACTCTCAGGAAGCCAGGATCCAGGTGCCCATTCTGAGTGACAAGTAGTTGTACAAATTCTCCAGGAATGTACGTTCATTCTCACTTCACATGGCTGCACCCGGCTTCTCCTTCGCTCTCCTTCTGGATATACAGAAAGGAGGGACTCTATCCTAAGGGGCCTTAGCAATACTTACCGCAGTCTTTAATTTCCGCTTAACAATTCTTTGAACTTACGAAAATTTCTGTAAGTGAATTTTTTTTTAAAGATTTTTTATTTTTAAGTAATCTCTACACCCAACATGGGGCTTGAATTCACAACCCCAAGATCAAGAGTCGCATGCTCTACTGAAGGAGCCAGCCAGGCGCCCCCCCATAAGTGAATTTTAGATCATGCCATGTGTGTCCTATCTTATCAAGGCTTCCTATAATCACCTTTATCCAGGTGCATTTTATCTAATATAGGTCATTGTTTCCTCTGACATTGATTCACTGAAGTTCAGAAATACAATTTAAATGTCCTAAATAACCGTCTCGTTATTTGACCGACTTTTCTTGTGTTTCCTCTTTGATATAAAGGCTCAACTGGAAGGACGTCATCCAGTCTTTCAGTCACTCTTAACATGCTGGCCTGTGCAAGCTGAGGGGCTGTGAATATGCTCCCATCCCCATCAGTCTGACCTCTGCTGTTTCCGAGGCCATGTGGTTGGGCACTTAGAGTATGATCTCAGATACCGGCTATCTGATCCGAGTCCGTGCGGCCAATCCCAGCCACGTGCTCTTCTGCGTCCCTGGCCCTGCTCCTCCTCCACTGCCGAGCCTGGCCGAGCCGGCCGCCCAAGACCACGGTGTGCCGTGCTGCCTTCAGATCCGGCTCCGGGGCTCCGCACGAGCTGGGCGGCCGGCGGACCTGCAACGTGCACCAAAGGCCCCGGAGCAGGGAGCCCAGGCCCGCGACAGGGAGCACGCGGGTATTTTGCTTCCTGTGCGTTCCCATCTTCCCCGACTGCTGCAGCTTTCTCCAGGTCGCGTGCCCCTCTTTCGGTCACCAGCTCGTCCCTTCACCCCAGAGTCACTGCAGGATGGAACGCACGGTGCGGAAGACCGGGGAGGACGGCGACCGCCCCGCGCTGCAGGAAGGAAAACGCGCGCCTCCAGAGCCCGCCGCGGCTCCCCCTCCCCGCCGCCCCCGCTCCCGGCTCCGCCCCGACCCGAGCGCCCTCTGCTCGCCGCTGGGTCCTAAGCCCCGCCGCGCCCGCCGCGCCCGCCGCGCGAGACGCGCACCAACCCTCGCGAGACCGTCTTCCCGCCGCGGGGCGGGCTGAGGGCGCGGCGGGGAGGCGCGCGCCGCGGCCAAAAGCTCAGCGACCGGGACGCGCACCCTTTTCCTGCAGCATTTAAAGGGTCAAAAGTGAGGCAAAAACCCAGGACGAACAAACCCCCGAGTCCCGACGAAGACGGGCTGTTGCGTTCTTGTGCCACAGCAGCGGCAGGTGCCCGTCCTCCGGTGGGTCCTGGCCCCGCGGGCGGGCGGTGCTTGAGGGGGGACCACGCGCGTGGGCGGATGGGCGGCGCAGGCCGCGCGTGGTCGTCGGCGAGCGCTGTGGTGCCGGTGTTAACTCCCCGGGGGCTCCGGATTCCCGGGGCGCGCGTCCTTTGGCCTCGGGCGCCGCCTGCGCGCTGCTCGGCGGTGGCCGCCCTCGGTGCGAAGGGGCCTCTGCGTCGTCCTCAGAGCAGGCCTGGGCTCTGACCGTTACAGCCTTTGCAATGCCCCTGCTGCTGCAGGGCTCGAGCAGCTTCCTCCCGAGGCGAGGCCGGCCACTCTGGAGTAATAGCCGCCGATCACAGGCTGCTTTAGAAAAGCACGCAGCCGCGTTCTCACGAAGTGCGCTGCGCCACCGATGGTTTGTCAGTCGGTTCTCTGCCCTGCCCCTTTGGCAGGAAGAGGGGGCTTTTCTGCGGGCCTCCGGCTCTTTGGTGGGAAAGCGGTCCCTAGATTGAGGTGCAGAAGTCGCTGAAATCTTTAACGCCCACTGACTTGCCATCACAGATGGTTACTGTCACTCGTTCCTCGCTCATGTCTGCGAAGTCTGTGCATCTCCATGCACGGTCTCATTTCGTCTTTACCAAAAATCTCTTACAATTCCCTGTGCAGCTTAAGAAACTGAGCCTCAGAGCAGTTAAGTACTCACAGCACAGCTGGGACCCGACGTGTAAGGATCTAGTCAGTACAGATACGCTAGCTCTCTACAGATTGTAAGTTTTTTTTTTTTAAGATTTTATTTATTTATTTGAGAGAGAGAGAATGAGAGAGAGCACATGAGAGGGGGGAGGGTCAGAGGGAGAAGCAGGCTCCCCGCCGAGCAGAGCCCGATGCGGGACTCGATCCCGGGACTCCAGGATCATGACCTGAGCCGAAGGCAGTCGCTCAACCAACTGAGCCACCCAGGCACCCTCTTTTTTTGTTTTTTTTTTAAAGATTTTATTTATTTATTTGAGAAAGAGAGAATGAGAGAGAGCACATGAGAGTGGGGAGGGTCAGAGGGAGAAGCAGACTCCCCGCCGAGCAGGGAGCCCGATGCGAGACTCGGTCCCGGGACTCCAGGATCATGACCTGAGCCGAAGGCAGTCGCCTAACCGACTGAGCCACCCAGGCGCCCCCTCCCCCCTTTTTTTTAAAGATCTTATTTATTTATTTGCGAGAGAGACAATGAGAGACAGAGAGCATGAGAGGGAGGAGGGTCAGAGGGAGAAGCAGACCCCCCGCCGAGCAGGGAGCCCGATGCGGGACTCGATCCCGGGCCTCCAGGATCATGACCTGAGCCGAAGGCAGTCGCCCAACCGACTGAGCCACCCAGGCGCCCTATAGATTGTAAGTTTTGTTAAATGTATCATTCTTTTCATTTGAACCAAATACATGCCCGAATTCATAGCTATGTCCGTCCTTCCAGGAAGGGCAGTATCCAGATTATTTTTTACTTAAAGATACGTTATAACATCTTTTAGTAACTGAATCAGGGATTGACAACTGAGGGGGGGAAATCTTAATGGCATATATTAATTTAATAAGAAAACCTGATAATCAAATTAATTAAAACAAGGGGAATAGAGGCCAAAGTTTAGTGTATAGCATAGAAACTTTAATTCTATTACCATGGTCCTTGACTGATGACTGTGGTGTGTGTGTGTGTGTGTTTGTGTGTGTGTATGTTCTATATCTGTAATCTCCAGTGAAGTAGACATGTAACAACTGAACACTTGAAGAGTGGCTGGTGCAACTGGGAAATTGAATTTTTCATTTTATTTAATGTAATGAATTTACATTTACATTTACATGGGGCTATGGAACAGGTGTGTCAAATGCTGTAATTCAGTCCGTCTGACAGTTCCTCTGATTCATTTTCCTTCTTTCCCCTTCCAGCACTGCTTTATTTTCAAGTTTTTATTATTTTTTTTATTGAAGTACAATTGACACACTCTCCTTCTTAGTTTCAGATGTGTATCATGTGTGATTCAGTATTTTTATACATTGCAAAATGATCCCCGTGGTAAGTCTAGTTACCACACAAAGTTACTACAATATTATTGACTGTATTTCCTACACGGTACACTGTACATTACATCTCCATGACTTATTTATTTTAAAATCGGAAGCTTGTACCTCTTAATCCTCTTTACCTCTTCCTTCCACTCCTTTATCCGCTCCTTCTGGTAAATAGCAGTTTGCTGTTTCTATGAGTCTGTTTCTGTTTTGTTTTGTTTTTAAGATTGAGTCAATCTTTTAAGATTCAAATACAATTGAAATCATATGGTATTTTTCTTCCTTTGCCTTATTTCACTTAGCATAATACCTTCTAGGTCCATCTGTGTTGTCACAGATGGCAAGATTTCATTCTTGGTTATGGCTGAGTAATATTCCTGTGTGTGTGTGTGTGTGTGTATACACCACATCTTGTATATCCATTCAGCTACGGATGGGTACTTAGGATGCTTCCATACCTTGGCTTTTGTAAATAACGCTGCAATGAACATGGGCGGGGCATATATTTCTTTGAATTAGTGTTTTTGTTTTCTTGAGATAAACACCCAGAAGTGGAATTGCTGGACTGCATGGGAGTTCTATTTTTTTTAAGTTTTTGAAGACCCTCCGTAATGTTTCTCATGGTGGCTACCAACAATTTACATTCCCACCAACAGTGGAACTCCCTTTTCTCTACCCCCTCACCAGTGTTTAAGTATTTTTTGTCTTTTTGATAATGGCGCATCTGACCAGAGTGAAGTGATATCTCCTTGTGGTTGTGATTTGCGTTTCCCTGATGACGAGTGAGGTTGAGCATTTTTCATGTGCTTATTGGCCATCTGCATGTCTTATTTGGAAAAAATGTCTTTTCAAGGCTTCTGCCCATTTTTAATCAAATTATTTGTCTTTTATATTAAATTGTGTATGTTCTTTATATACTTTGGACGTAACCCTTTGCAAATAGCTTCTCATTCAGTAAGTTGCCTTTTTGTTTTTTGATGGTTTCCTTTGGTGTGCAAAGGCTTTTTAGTTTGATGTCATCCATTTGTTTATCTCAGCTTTTGTTGCCCTTGCCTAAGGAGAGTGGTCCAAAAAAATATCACTAAGACTGGTGCCCAAAAGTTTACTGCCGATGCTTTCTTCTAGGAGTTTTATGCTTTCGGGTCTTACATTTAGGTCTTTAATACACTTTGAGTTTATTTTTGTGTATGGTGTAAGAAAGCGGTCCAGTTATATACATTTTATATTTGTGCAGTTTAATAGAATACCTTCTATTCTAATAGTCCCTTAACATGAAAAAATAATGGGAAACACTGTCTACATATCTTCTACTTGAAATGTGTTATGCAGCCATTTATCATAACCCATCTGGATCGCTGAAATATAAATGGTGTTCTTTTTCTTAGCTGTGGTGGTCTTCATTGTCAAAAAGCTCTCAGATTATATCTGCATTACATTCTAATAGGAAATCAATCAGCACTAGATGAACATTAGCAGTAGAACACAATAAAGCCTTCCAGTGTGTACTATTTACCTGGTTGGGTGGACCAGATTTTCCTCCCTTGTAGACATATGACCCTTCTTTGGGAAGGTTTGTCTTTATTCAGATTTCATTCACATGACTCTGCTAGAGTTTCACTGTAATCCTACCTGTCCTAATTCAGACTTTAGGGTAACAAAGTGTCATTTTGGAATCTTCAAGAAAATGAATCACATTTCTTTTTTTAATAAGAATAAGAAATTTTATGCAATCCAGCAATTTCACTTCTGGGTATTTATCCAAAGAAAATAAGAACACTGATTTAAAGGGATACATGCACCCCTGTGTTTACTGCAGCATTATTTACAATAGCCAAGATATGGAAGCAGCCTAAGTGCCCACTGATAGATGAATGGATAAAGAAGAGGTGGTATACACACACAAACACACAGACACACACCCCACATATACATATACACGTATGTGAGATATATATATACACACCATATATATATACACAAACACACTCTCTCTCTCTCTATATATATATGTATAAAGCCATAAAAAGAATGAAATGTTGACATTTGCGACAACCTGTATGAACCTAGAGGGAGGGTATCATGCTAAATAAGTCACATGGGGGGTGCCTGGGTGGCTCAGTCGTTAAGTGTCTGCCTTCGGCTCAGGTCATGATTCCAGGGTCCTGGGATCGAGCCCCGCATCAGGCTCCCTGCTCAGCAGGAAGCCTGCTTCTCCCTCTCCCACTCCCCCCGCTTGTGTTCCCTCTCTCGCTGTGTCTCTCTCTGTCAAATAAATAAATAAAATCTAAAAAGAAAAAGTCACACGGAAGAATTAATATTGTTAAAATGTCCATACCACCCAAAGCAATCTACAGATTCAATGTAAGCCTCATCAAAATACCAGTGGCATTTTCACGGAACTAGAACAAAGAATCCTAAAATGTGTATGGAACCACAAAAGACCCTGAGTAGCCAAAGCAATCTTGAGAAAGAAGAACAAAGCTGGAGGCATCATACTCCCTGATTTCAAGCTCTGCAAGAAAGCTAGTAATCAAAACACTGTGGTATTGGCAACAAGAACAGACACAGATCAATGGAAGAGAATAGAGAGCCCAGGAATAAACTCACTCATGTGGTCAATTAATTTATCACACAGGAGGCAAGAATATACAACAGGGTAAAGACAAGCTTTTCAGTAAGCGGGGTTGGGGCTACTGGACAGCTCCGTGCCGGAGAATGAGGCTGGACCACGTTCTTACGCCACACACACAAATAAACTCAAAATGGGTTACAGACTTGAATGTAAGACCTGAAATGCTAAAACTCCAGGAGAGATGCCAGGAAAGTTATCCATGGTGCCTCATGTGGAAGAGACGTCCTGTACACTAAGGACTGAGGATGCTCCCCGTGAGGTCATTACCTATGACCTTGGTGAGAGTAATCACCAGATGGCAGAAGGTGCTGGAACTGCCACCAAAAATGCAGACCATACTTTCAAGGAGACCATGAAAAGGAGCGTCCAAGGGCTGAAGAGGCCTTTGTTTAGGATGAGAGGAACTTGAGCAAGGTAATGTCAGCTGGGACCTCCCTGCCTCTGAGACACGTGGGTACACTTGGTCCAAAGCCACGGCCAGGGCTCTCGGAGCTGACTTCAGCGACTCGTGAGAGCTTGCTCACTCATGCTTCTGTCCGCTGTCACATCCACACCTGTGTCTCAGGCCCACCTCATGGCAGCTCAGTGCGAATCTCAGCCCCTTCACTGGTTTCTGCACAAACACATGTACTCATGGGAACAGTAAGCCAAGCATCAAAAATGTCAGAAGAAACTGTCAGGACGTCTGGAGGTGTTCCTGGCAAGGGGTTTACATGGCTGCCTTAGTTCTTCCGACTGGTGGGCAGGAGATAAGAATGGATGGGAAGGAAGATGAGATGGGGGCGGCAGGGTGGTTCACGGACTCAGTATTCCCTTTGTCCTCTGCAGACATTCAGCTCCCCAGAGCACCCTGTTACTTTGGTGTTAATAATAATTGTACCAATTTTTTTTAAGCACTTTGGGCAATTTTTTCAAACTTGTGATGATCCCTCCGTTTCTTCAGACTCTTGCCATGGCTTCTTTCACCTGCTTTGGTTGAAAATGGGTGATCTTTGATGATTTTGTATTACCTCCTTCAACATTTTGTCCTCGCCCTCCAGTTTGCTCCTTTCCTATGGCTCAGCACTGACACCTGGTGGCCTGTTAGTATAAAGCCGCAGACCCGCTGGGACAGACCCCAGGAGGGCATGGGCTTGGTGGGGAAAAGCAAAGCAGAGGCTCATGCTCCTAAGCAGTCAAGCCAGGAATGCATCCTCTTAGGGGACCCTCGGAAAATAGGAAAGCCTTTGACCTCAGAAATAGACATGCTTCTTTGAGAGCTAAGTGAATTTAGACAGAAACAAAACTGGGAATGAAAGCTGATCAGGATTTTGAAGAAAAAGAAAAACAAAGAAAAGCCCTCTAGATTAGGGAGAATTAGGCAAAGAGAATCCGAATATAAAAACTTTTTGGGAAGATGTGGCCTCTTGGGTAAAACTTTTTTTTTTTCCAGCAAATATGTATTGAGGACCTTCTATAGTTGGCTTATTAAGTAGTCTTGCTTCCGTGGGGGATTAAGTGTGAAGAAATTTTATTTTTTTCCCATCATTGCTTTCAGTCATGCTCTGTGAAATATCCCTTTCCCAATCCTTGATGAAATCTTGGCCAGATTTAGTAACTTTTGGTTACCAGAAGTCCATTGTGTTTAAAACTTCAATAATACCCAATTCAATTCTCAAATATTACCATACCCTCTCCACTCCAGGCACTAGGTCATAAAGAAAGTCTTCACTTTAAAGAAGTCATAATTTTTATTTTTTAAATAATTTTTTATTTATTCATTTGAGACAGAGAAAGAGAGAGAGAGAGAGCATGAGCAGGGGGAGAGGCAGAGGAAGAGGGAGAAGCAGGCTCCCTGCTGATCAGGGAGCCCAACATGGGACTCGATCCCAGGACCCTGAGATCATGACCTGAGCCGAAGGCAGACGCTTAACCATCTGAGCCACCCAGGTGCCCCAAGAAGTCATCATTTTTAAAACTGAGATATAATTGACACACAGTGTGTTAGTTTTAGGTGTAGAATATAATCATTTGATATATGAATTCTTGTGGAGCAAGAATATCCTGTCCCCTTCAAGGTCCTTCTAGCTGGACTAAGAATCAGATTGACATGAGACAAATTAAGCAGAGAAAATAAAATTTAATAACATACCTATGGGGAGTCCATATATGTACAAATCCAAAGACAATCAGGCAAAACGAGGCATATACGTCATCCTGAACTAAGGAGAAGGGGCTCAGTGTCTGGGACTTTGGAAGGAAGTACAATTACAGAGGAATAGGAGCAAGGGCAGATGTTTGGTAATCAGATGTTTGCCCTGCCATACAGATAGGTCACTCAGATAACATTTATCTCCAGTAATAGCCCTTATTCTGGGAAAGACTCCCAATTTAGATTCTTCTATGTAGCTAAGGGAGGCACAAAAGTTTCTCTCGATCCTGCAGGGTCTCAATTGGCTTCAGCTCAAAATAATCTTCATGCCGAAGAGGCCCATCTTGGGGCAGCCTGCCCTCGGCTCCTAGAGTATATATTGCAAGATGATTATCACAAAAGTTTAGTTAACACCCATCACCACACACAGTTACACCTTTTTTTTTTTCTTGGGATGGTAACTTTCAGGATTTACTCTCTTAACTTTTAAATTTACAACACAGTATTATCAACCATAGTCACCATGCCATACGTTATATCCCCGGGACTTATTTATGTTATAACAAAGAAGTCATAATTTTTAAGAATCAAAGTTACATAAACCATATTATCTGACCATATTGTAATAATGACATCAGAAAGAAATGATAAAAGGACGGAAAAGAATCTAAATGTTTGGAAACTTATAAAGACATTTCCCAATGGTTGTGGGTTAAAGAGTAACCACAGTAGAAATGACAGAGTATATCCCCAAAGGGCTGAGAAGGTTCTACAGATCTGAACTTCTGAGATTAAGTCAAAGGAACATTTGTAACCTTATATGCATTTATTTAAAAAATAACTTAAAATCTGGAAATGAAGAAATGAAGCTCTTTACTCCTGAAGCTATTGAAAGCATGAAAGGGTAAAGAATGTAGAAAGAAGGTGGGCACCTGGCTGGCTCAGTCGGCGGTGACTGCAACTCTTGATCTCGGGGTTGTGGGTTTGAGCCCGATGGTGGGTGTAGAGATTACTTAAAAATAAAATCTTTACAAAAGAAAAAAGTAGTAGGAGGTCATAAAAAGATAAAAAAAAAGGGAGGTAATAAAAAGCAAAAAATAATTAGAAAACAAACCAACAATAAAGACAATCAAAAAATGAAAATCTTCTTTGTAAAAAGGAAATGATAAAACTCGCCATCTTCTAAGGAGGTGGATAAAGGATAGAGGCCTAAATAAACAATATTAGGAATGAAAAATGGGTATAACTGCAGATACGGGAGAGACTTTTAAAAGCAGGAGACTACTATCCATAATTTTGTCAATAAATTTGAAAACTTGCACAAAAGGCAGTATCTTTTAGAAAAAAATATAAAACCAATTCATATTAATTAAACTAATATTAATATTAAATCAAATCAAGAAGAATTAGACAACCTAAAAAGAAACACAGGTGATACTTAGAACTTCTTTCTTCTGCAAAGTGTTTGTGGTTTTCTTTGACTTTCAGCCGTGACCTCAGCTCGCCAGGATTCTCCACCCACCGGGGTGACTCAAACCTTTATTTCTGAAGGGTCGCATCCTCAGCAATCTGGCTTTTTCTTGTTTGATGCAGTTTTTCTATCAACCTTTTTGTTTCCTGATTGCAGCTGAGTAATGATTGCATTTAGCAGCAGAGTTTTTACACATTGTAAACATTTTAAACTATGTCCAATTATCTGTACAGAGGTCTTCCTAAAGGAAAAAATTCTCCTGAAGACACTTATGAAGGTTAAGTGCTATGGTCTTCATATTTATGTAAATATTAAGAAATAATTAGGAAAGATGATCTTTGTCCTTCCAAAAATGTTTTTCATTCTAAGGCATATAATATTAAAATCTAGAAGACGTTAGGCTAAGTAATACTTCTCTTTTCAAAAATTACTTACCTTTCACCTTGTATTACCTGAATAAAGCAGATGAGTAGTATGGTTCTAACACATCAGAACCAATCAAAATGACTGGATTTATGAAGTAACATATTTGTGTGCCGACAAGATCTTATTAATTTAATGAGAAAAATGGCATACTTTATAAAAACTATAAATCCTGTACTGTTATAGGCTAAAAAAAAATTGTGAAGGAGAAAAGCACTGAGATTTTCATTTTATAAAAACACTATTTTAACATCTGACATAAAAACAGAGCTAAAAAAACACAGGGCAATAGCTTTAGTTTCTTAAATTTTGTGTTTGATTTACTAGTAACAGTCCAGGAATGCAAACCCTATGTGTTTCATTTTTATTCCAAAACCACAAAATTAAACCGAGAATATTCTGTCTAATTCAAAAGCATCTGAAATGCTCATTTCTGTTCTCAAATAAGTATTTCATATAAAATGGTGCTCAGAGTAAAGTGAAGAGCAGCATATTACTATTTGTTGTGGCACAGTTTCTATTTTCATACTGATGAATGCCTATTTCAATTTTATTTTTTAAGTTGTCTTCTAAGATCAGCTTGGAATGGAATGACAGTACAATGTGTCTTCAGACCTCCACTTCAACTTGCTGGCCCCGGACATTCCCAGCTTTACGCTTCTGTAATCTTACCTTAAGCAACATCCAAAACCAAGGTGAAAATCGGGTATGGAGTTAGAGGCATTCATTGGATGTCATTCTTTTTTTTTTAAGATTCCATTTTTAAGTAATCTCTATACCCAACGTGGGGCTACGAACTCACATCCCCCAAGATCAAGAGTCACACGCTCCGCCGACTGAGCCAGCCCAGGGCTTCCCAATGTCATTCTGCGAAAGGTCTGGTTTCTGTTGGGTAAGGAAGAGCCCAAAGGCTGTGACAGTCTGAGTGTTATTTATGCCATTTAATTCAGCTGGATAGGTTTCTGTTCTGAAACTTGTAAAATGTCTGTGAGCCTGGAGTGGAGTTTCTGGCTGACACTGATGGAAAGACACATCCCCTGCATGACACGCCTGAGAATGTACCGTAGGCTGTTCATTTCCTCGTGTTGTTGGTTTTCAGAAACTTCCAGAAACAGCTGACCACATCGTGGAAGTTATAAATCAGGTGTGGTGATGTCTCCAAACTTCCTAGAGCCAAGTCCAGCTGAGTAAACTCAACGCTGCGGCAGATGGCAGAATCCTGATGTGCCGGGAAATTCTGAAAAGACCTCACACTGGTAGGTCTTGCTGCAGAGAACTGACAGGCACAGCTGGGTCACAATTGCGACCTGCAAGTGTGCGGGGAACCTGCACTAGCCTTGTCCTCCGACGCTGATTCTGCCGCGGCTGACCCACCCCGTGCCTCTGTCCACTGCACCTGCTGCTGTGGTTAGGACCACCGACCCTGCAGCTTGCGTGGGGAGCCAGAGATTGTTGCTGCTGGTGATCTGAAATCATGAAGGTGCACTCAGAGAGAATCTTGGACATAAGTCAGGATTTCATCTGATATGCCAACAGAGAAAATCCTCATCGAAAGGTAGATCTGACAATTTCTCACTCTGCTGCATTTGTCGAGTATTTCCAAAATTAGTGTGTAAGTTTTTCCTAGTCCTATATAAGTCACTGTGAATGTCATATGGAAAGAACCTTATAGGATATCCAGAAAACATCAGGTTTATTTCCTGAGATGAACAAATTGGCTCATGGTTTAGGTCACTATCATTTCCTATTCGGCACAATATTATCTTGTCAGTTACTGCCTTCATGCCTAGATTTATTTAAAAGGCTTCTTTCAAAGGCTGCAGCCTTTGAAACAGGGTAGAGAAACCCGAACTCGTTCTGTTGCATCATGGCACCAAGAAGGGAACGAAGATTGAGGGATCCTTATTTAAAGTCAGTTTGGCAGCAGGTGTTTTCCATTGAGCTACCTTTAGTCCTCATTAGTACAGGATCCTTTATGGCTGGGGAAGAACATAGGTCATCCAACACAGCTACTCCGGTGGTCAGCGTTAAAGGGAGCTTCCGTTTTGTTCTTGTGAGCGCTCTGTTCCCTCTTTGTTTGGGAGAGTTCTTGAGTTTCCAGTGGTAATAACCTAGCTGCCATTTTTAAAAACGAAGAGTGCCCTCGATCAAGCCCAGGTCCACTGCCTTTCTTTGGTGAGAAGTCTGTACACCATCCTGCCCTTGTCTTCAGGTTTAATCGTCTGAACATGGTTCTTGGCCCAACGAATCGTCTTAGCAGCCTGATCCTGCCACGCACAATTCCGCTTTGATATGTTCTAGAACAAGTTCTCCTTTGACACCCCAGACAGTAGGTGTCAAGTCTAGTTTGTGGTTCGTTCTAAAGATACATCTTTTTGTTCAGATTTCAACTATGAAATGGAGGTGGGAGTAAAGATTCAGCTTTCCCTTTCTTGTTCTGCTCAAGATACTTTAACCCCCCGCCCCCCACCTTGGAAATCAGTGCCGGGAATCTGGAAGAATAATCTGGCAGATTTCTTCATTGGCGGATGAACCACATCTCCGTACAAGAAGGGTTTCTAGGGGAAGGTGGTGTGGGTTAGGACAGATTTTGGCAGTTGAGAGGTCATCAGCCCCATCAACTCTTTTGGGAGATGGTGCCCAGACACCAGGTTGCTGCTGAAGATCAGTCCCTGTGGCTGGGGCATCCCCTGCGCTGATTTGCTTGGGTCTGGACTATCTGAACTAATCAAGACGGCAGGGGAATGGGATTATCCTGATTGGCTGAGCGGGTTGTCAGTCTCAGGAAACCCCATAGCTGTTACCCAGGGCAAGAGGTGGAATGAATATCCGGAGCCGGTGATTCTGCACATAGGCATGGACTGTTTTCTATATATGCATTTGAGACCCCACTGTATGTACAGCTAAACTACGGTTAGCAATTTTGCTGTTGTTTATTTATTTTGTTGTTGTTTAGAGTAGCATTATTTATATTAATAAAAATACGTGACACAAGCCAAATACTCAGCAAAAGGGGAACAACGAAATGGGATACCCATTTGGGGACGCATGGTAGCCTTAACTTTCCCAAAGCTTGGAAATGACTGGGCGTGAAGCCAATGGTAAGAAGTCATGTTTATATGGTGTTGTTTTCTAATTCAAAGCCATCTCTGGTTATGTCTTCCTGACGAAGAGGATGTGGACCTTGGGCGAGGAAAGGTGTTCTCCGAAATAACATTCGGCACCGCACTAACAGGTCTAACAACAACTTCATTATTCCCCTTCACGCTTTTCAGATTTTCAACACGATGAATGTGCGAGCGAAGGGCTTTCTTGTATTCCTGGTAAGTCATGTTTTATTTGTCCTCTTAGTCATATTGTTTTTCCTCCACAAGAGCACTAGAATACACACACTGTGCTGGGAAGTAGCCTCAATAGGGTGAAATAAAAGTGGAAAAAAGTCACCTGACAATGATATGGGGAGGGAGTTAACTCGGTAATGTTCAAGGCCCCATTCCTGTTTTTGAAAAATTGTGGTAAAATATACGTAAGACAGTTCATCACGTTAACCTTTTTTGAGTGTACCATTCAGTGGCATAAAATACATTCACTCTTGTGTCACCGTCACCACTAATCGACAGAACTTTTCCGTCATCTCAAACTGAAACCCTGTACCCATTAAACACTAACTCCACCTTCTCCCCTCCTTTCAGCCCCTGCTAATTGCTATTGAACTTGCCTCTTCTAGAAACCCCTTATAAGTGGAGCCCTGCAGTGTTTGTCTTCTCGTGTCAGGCCTATTTCACTTTGCATAACGAGTTCAAGGTTCATCTGTGATCAGAATTCCATATCTTTTTAAAGGCTGTGTTGTCATATTCCATTATATGGGTGTACCCCATTTTGTTTTCCTTGATGGACATGTGGGTTGTTTTTACGTTTGGCTATTGTGAATAATGCTGCCTGTGGACACTGGCGTATAAATAGCTGTCTGGGTCTCTGCTTTCAGTTCTTTTGGGTCTATACCTAGGAGCAGAATTGCTGGGTCATAAGGTAATTCTGTGTTTTGGAGGAAACACCCATACTATTTTCCATGCTTAGTCGAACCATTTTATATTTCCAACAGCAATACACAATGGTTGAAATTTCTCCACATTTTCCCAACACTTGTTATTTTCTGGGTTTTTTGGGGGGTGTGGTGGGATCATAATAGCCATCCTAATGGTTGATAAGGAAAATCTGTGTCCTAAGATGGGCCATGGAGCCAGCAGGAGAGTCCCAGTCCTTGCCTCAGGGCTCTTCCGGGTTCCTCTCCCTGCCCTGCTTCACGCACACCCCAAAAGTGCCAAGTATGTGGAAGTGGAAGTGAATAAATTGCCCCCTTTGTGCTCTGGGCTCAGACCTTTGGAGATCACTCTCCTCTGAGCCCTCCGGCGTTAAATAAACCTCCTGTCCTCCAAGGTCTCCGGGTGCCTCTTGGTTCTTCCATCAGGCGATCCAGTCCAGGTTCCATAACAGTGTGAAGTGGTGTCTATCTCATTGTGGTTTTGATTTGCATTTCCCTAATGATTAGTGATGGTATGTAGTCTTCGGTGGAATGTTTCTTTCACTTAACAAGTGGAATCTTGGGACTCATCCACATGGTTACAAGCACTAGCGTTCCTTCCTTGTTGCTGAGTGGTATTCTGTTGTGTGAACGTGGACTGTTTAACTCTTCTCTTATGGATGGCCCCCTGAGCTGTTTGCTCTTTGAGGCTATCATGAATAAAGATCCTAATGGAGCAGTTTGGTATGTTCTTTTCTGTGGATATGTGCTTTCATTTCCCTCAGATAAACATCTAGGAGTAGAATTGCTGGTTTACAGTGTGAGCATCTGTTTAGGTTTATAAGAAACTGCGACACCTTTTAGAAAGTGGCATTAAATTGTGCTCCCCCCAGTAATGTACGAGAATTGTGGCTGAACCACATCCTTGCCAGCATTTGGTGTTATAGTCTTTAAATTTAACCATTCTGATGGGTGGTAGTAGTATCTTACTGTGATTTTAATTTGTGTTTTTTTCCTGGGACTGTGATCATTAATCCTTGATGATTAGTGATGTTGAACATCTTTTCGTGTATTTGCCATCGATAAATCTTCCTTTGTAAAACATGTGTTCAGATATTTTGCCCACTAATTATTTGGATTGTTTGACTTTTTTTTTATTGAGTTGTAGGAATTCCTTATCTATTCTAATTATCAGTCTTATGTAAAATATTAGCTTGGTTTGTGGTTGTCTGTTCATTTTTTTAATACTGTATTTTGATGAACACAGTTTTAAATTTTGGTAAAGTCTAATTTATCAATTTTTCCTTTATAGCTATGGCTTTCTTTGTCATTTCCAAGAAACTTTGGCCTGTTCCCAAGCCAACAAAGGTATTGTTCCGTTTTATTTCATAAGCTTTAGAGTTTTATCCTTTATGCTTAGACCTATGGTCTAGTTCATGCTAACTTTTGTGCAGATATGAGGTAAAGATCGATATTTCTTTTTTTCCCATATGGATGTTCTGTTGATCCAGTACCATTTATTGGAAAGATATTTCCCGTCGGACTGCTTTGCCTAGTATTAGCATTGGCAATTGGAGTGACCTTCCTCAGTGCTCTGCAGATCTGGTTCCATAATGGAAGAGGGGAGCATTGGCTGTTGACTTATTTTTTTTTTTTTACAGGTTAAAAAAAATTTTTTTTAATTTAAATTCAACTTAATTAACATATACTGTATTATCGTTTCAGAGGTAGGATTCAGTGATTCATCAGTTGCATATAACACCCAGTGCTCATTACTTCAAGTGTCTCCTTAATGCCCATCAGCCAGTTACCCCGTCTCAGGTAGGTGGGCAGGGACATGCTCACACACAAACTGTTCCTTGGGGAGAGGAGCAGGGACCGGAGCTGGGTGCGCCCCCTCCTGGCCGAAGCGAGGAAGTCTTCGCTTTGTAGCGGCCTTCTGGAGTAACTGTGTTGGGCACAGAGCTGTCCTTTCTGTTGCCTCTGTGTTGGAGGAGAAAGTCCTGAGATGATTCAGGCTTTCCTCCCACTGTCTCTGCAGCCCCCTCAGTTCCTTTTCAAATATACTATATAGCGGCTCCCCTTTGCATACAAAGTAAATTTCAAACAACCAGGCATGGCCAACCGGGTTTTTCATAATATCATTCCTGCCCTCTTCGAACTTCAGTGGGTTATTGTTTCCAGATTCAGTGAGATACTACATATCGAGTACCTAGTGGGAGGTAGATGTATCAGTGAAGGAATTTAGTTGCAAAAACAAAAAAAGCAAACCTACCTGAGTTCGTGCAAGCGGTAAAGAAATTTGTTAATGGACATTGGAAGTTAAAAATAACGAGGATCCAGGACCAGTGCCAAAGTACATACTGAACGCACCAGTGCCTGGACGGAGGCCTGGACCGGGGAGGGAGCTGCCAGGCTGGCCGGAGCTGCAGCTGCAGGCTGAAGCCTCACCGCCCCCCTCTCCGGAAACGGTTCTCCCTGGTGCCTCCTATTCTTGGGACTCCTCTCAATTGACCATGGACCTGAGTACGTCCGGTGGACAGGCTCCAGGTCCCGGATCTGTACCCCAGCCACACAAAGGAGGTTGGAGGGTGACTTTCTGGCTTCTGTGTTGGGAAGGCAGGGACTCAGTGGGGAATTCCCCAGATATAAAGGGTATTAAAAAGTTGCCAGAGACGTTGGCTATGGTAGGTAATCAATCCGTAGTGCCTCTTTTCCCCAGAGAAAACAACGTACTAGAGTAGGCGTGTAAACAAACATCCGTGCTCAGCGTAGACACTGTATCTCTTGTGAAATGCACTCTGAAAATTTTCGCACACACAATAAGCTTCAACTTGGTCCACTTCACGGTTAACCCTGTTTTAGTTGTGCTTGTCCTTGTTTCCCCATCTCCCCCTCCCCACCCATTATTTTGAAGCAAATCCCAGACATGAAATCTTTTCCTTCATCTCTTGGCGTGCATCTGCGTGTATCTCTAAGAGATGAATGGCTTGTGAAGTTTTGATTATGGAGAAGCATCATAGCGTAGCCACCTTTCCGGTGTTTGCCTGAGCACTCAGATTGTCCTTCGGGAAAACAAATATTTATCTAGTAAAGATATTGGAAGAGAAAGCTCACATTCTTCAGGAGCTGACAACCTATTCATTCACTCATCTGTTCATCCATTCAGCAAAAGATTAGTAGGTACTAGTGACTTTTCCCACACTTGGCTTGATGCAGAGGTGACCAAAAATATAGTCGTTGCTTTTATGGAGCTTTGAGAGACCAGACAAAGGCCTGAAGTGTTAAATTAACAAAGCACATGTGAACTATTAGTCAATAAACAATAAAGAGATATCATAAGGCAGTAGGCATTTGATCACAAAATGAGTCAAGAAAATAGTAGACAAAAATCTTATTTTTTAAAAAATATTTTATTTATTTATTTGAGAGAGAGAAGGAGAGAGCAAGCAAGAGAGCACAAGCAGGGGGAGCAGCAGAGGGAGAGGGAGAAGCAGGCTTCCCGCTGAGCAGGGAGCCCAACACGGGGCTCGATCCCAGAACCCTGGGATCATGACCTGAGCCAAAGGCAGACGCTTAACTGACAGAGCCACCCAGGTGCCCCCAAATCCTCTAAGTTTTAATGGAAGATTTTTTGATATGCCAATTCACAGTGACTCATAGGTAGAAATCACATACCCATTTAAGGTAATCAAATGTCTTTGACTGTGGATTATTTGATCCAAGCAGTGAAATTTGAAACAAATTTTAAAACAGAGAAAAAGAACACTGCCCAACATATTTGCTAAAATTGCCTCTCAGGGGAAATCATAAAAGCACAGAAAGCCCCCAAACATATCATTTATTTGTAGGCAGATTTTATATGTTGTTCAGAGTTATATCACTCTGTAGGGATATGCTTAAGGATGTGTAACTTCAATGATTTCCAAACCCAAAGTGGCAGGTATCTGGCTCATGGCTATAACAAGTTGGTGTGGCTGTGAGGAAGGAAATACAAGCCTTCCGGTTTATAAGTAAAACATATAAATAATCCCAGAACTGAGCTGAGTTTTCAGATTTTGTAAGTGCAGCAAGTGACCTCCAAGCTCTCCACTTCTATCATTTTTCAGTAGAGATTGAATTGCAAACAATGAAAGAACTCCATGTGGACCAGACAAGACAAGATGGTCTAGTGCTTTGGACAATCCTCAAATTGCTGAACATACATCAGATAGCATGTCCTAAATCAACACTGTCCAAGATATCTTGAGTGTAGATGCTTGGACGTATGAATTATGATATTTTGCATAGAAAGAAAGGGCAAAAGTTATCACCCCAAAAGTGAGGGTAGAGTTACCCAAGTATGGCCACCTGGGCTGGGCTGGGCAGAACCTGCTGATGGATCAGGCACTTGGCTAGGTTCTTTCTTTGTCCAAGTTATGTGATTTGGAAAGGACTATCAAAGACTGTGGGAGTGACCAAGAAGCTCAAAATCAAATCTCCATTTTAAAGACCTTAGACCAGGGCATCCAAACCCTTCCTTAAAGACAGCAAATGAATGAGAACTGCTATAGAGACAGGGAAAACTCTTTCTATGGATTGTTTTGGGTTGGCCCTAAATTTTCTTGGAAGAGGCTGTGAAAAGTGAAGAAAGGGACAAGAAATGCAGTGCCTTTGTCCACAGAAGGGGGCCGTCTTGCCGGAAGTGTGACACTAGGACTCTGCACTATATCTCCAGGTCTCTGGAGGGAGGAAGATGTGATTTCCTGAAAAGAGATATGGTTGACTGGCTTCACCATTTTCACCATGAAAACAGACTGGAGGCTGCTGATGTAATTTTTATTTTTTTATTTTTATTTTTATTTTTTTTAAAGATTTTATTTATTTATTTGATAGAGAGATAGCGAGAGAGGGAACACAAGCAGGGGGAGTGGGAGAGGGAGAAGCAGGCCTCCCGCTGAGCAGGGAGCCTGATGCGGGGCTCGATCCCAGGACCCTGGGATCATGACCCGAGCCGAAGGCAGACGCTTAACGACTGAGCCACCCAGGCGCCCCGTAATTTTTATTTTTATTGTACACTTGACTCCTTCTAATTGTTTGCTGGCTGTGTTGAAAAGAGTTAACTTGGTGGGAAGGAATGGTATCCTCTGACAGGCCTGCTTATGAGGTTGTCCCGGGACTAGCAACTGAGAACCTAGATTTTGGGAGGATGTCCGTGATTAACTGATAAGAGGGGCTCAGTGTGCTGAAACCATTTGTGCAAACAGTATGCTTTTTAAAAAAAAATTTATTTATTTATGTATTTGAGAGAGCGAGAGAGAGCATATGAGAGGGGGGAGGGTCAGAGGGAGAAGCAGACCCCCTGCTGAGTAGGGAGCCCGATGTAGGACTCGATCCCGGGACTCCAGGATCATGACCTGAGCCGAAGGCAGTCGCTTAACCAACTGAGCCACCCAGGCGCCCTGTGCAAACAGTATGCTTTATGCTGAACACCTGATTGTCTTCCGGGAGTCTAAAATTTGGGTATGTACCAAATGGCTTATTCTTTCAGATTTCTTTATATGTATATTGAAATGCATAATTTTTAGGCAAAAATGGATCATATTATGCATATAGTTATGTTCATTCACCAATGTATCTTGGCACTTGGTATTTCCACGTCATTACACATAGAGCAATCTCATTATTTTGGGCAGTTATAGGTATCTCCTTAAAAATTTGGCTGAAATGGGGCACTCAGTCATTAAGTGTCTGCCTTCGGCTCAGGTCATGATCCCAGGGTCCTGGGATCGAGCCCTGCATCGGGCTCCCTGCTCCGCGGGAAGCCTGCTTCTCCCTCTCCCACTCCCCCTGCTTGTGTTCCCTCTCTCGCTGTGTCTCTCTCTGTCAAATAAATAAATAAAATCTTAAAAAAAAAAATTTGGCTGAAATGTATGAACCAGGTTTGGATCCTGATTTGTTCCAGAATATACGTAAGATGACTAGGGGAATTTGATTTCTGACTAGATATTAGATAATATTAAGGAATTTTTAGTAAATGTATTAGATTTGGTGATGGGTTTGTAGTTACATTTATTAGAATCCTTATATTTTAGAGATACGTACTGAAATATGAGAAGATGAAATCATGATGTCTGGGGTTGGCTTTAGAATCATCCCACTGGAGAGGACAGTATGTGTGAGTTTGAGTGCGTAGGTGTGTGAGGAGGGTGTGTGTGAGTGCATGAGTGTGTGGGTGAGGGAGTATGAGAGTGTGTGTGGGCATCAGGGTAGGTGTGAGTGTGTGAGGGGTGTGAATGTCTGTAACTGTAAAGGTGTGTGTGAGGGGGTGTAGCTGTGTGTGGATGTATGTGAAAGTGTGTATGAGGGTGTGTGAAGGGGTGTGAGCGGGTGTGAGGGGGTGGTGTGAGTGTGTGAAAGAGTGTGTATGAGAGTGTATGAGCGTGTGTGAGGGTGTATGAGGATATGAGTGGAGGTAGAGATGAGTTGTTGAGTTTGGGTCATGGAAGTTGACTATATCGTTCTTTCTAGCATTGCCCAGGGTATATACAATTTTGTATTTTGCATATTGTGTATATTATGGTAATAAGTTGGAAAAACACCTAGGCATTTATTTATTTATTTATTTATTTATTTATTTATTTATTAACAGAGAGAGAGCACAAGCAGGCAGAGCGGCAGACAGAGGGAGAGGGAGAAGCAGGCTCTCTGCTGAGCAGGGAGCCCAATGCGGGGCTCGATCCCATACCCTGGGATCATGACCCGAGCCGAAGGCAGCCACTTAACTGACTGAGCCACCCAGGCGCCCCAAAACACCTAGGCTTTGATGACTGTTTTTTTCTGATGGGGTTGAGGGAAGTTGTGAAGGAACCTGGGGGTGGGAAGAGGGCCCCTGAACAGGGTTGGCTGATTTTAATAAAGGAATTTTTCCTCCTGGCCTTAGTCCAGGGGTGAGGAGCTTTTTGTTGTTAAAGTTGCTAACTCATGGGAGGAAAAGAAACTAAACCAAGACATAAGCTTTCAATTTAAAAGGTCTTTTTTAATAAACAAAATGTTGACTTTAAAAATTCAAGAATGATCGTAAAATTTGGATCACTAAGTAACTGTGATGATCATACTGAGTGAGAAAGAAACATGCCCAGATCAATATTGCAAAAGATGATAAATAAAGTCGTGTCAAAAGTGATGTTAGAAGTTGAAGGAGAGAGAAATCAATCTAATTGGGGGGATCAGAGGCATCATGGGACGGTGGTCTGCTTGAAGTCAGTTGTCCTGGATTCAGATCCCACCTCTGCCATAATTAGCTATGACCTAGCACTTCGACCTCCCTGAGCATCAGTTACAGATAAAACCGTCATGTCAAACTTACAGCTTTGCTGTATGAGCTGGAAACACTATGAATAACATACCTCTTGACGTATGATTGAAGTAATACCTAGTGTGGTTATGATATTTATTGGCACTGTGTTTTCGTGTTCATGTATTCATTTCTCACAGAAATAATAATAAGAAGTAATGTCTTGAGTAAAAAAACCAAACCAAACCAAACAAAAACCCAACCCCTTTCTTGGCTGACCAGCGTTCATTCATTCCCTCTTCGTGACGACACTGCCAGCTTTAAACACTTCTCCCCGTCGCATGTAGTCTTGGTGGGAGTGGAAATCCAGTGGGCTGCCTTCCATTCCAGAAGCCCCTTCCTTAGGGCCGTGGTGGAGCAAGCTCTCTTTGGAGATTCTGACAAAGGGCTGGCTGATCCCAACGGCAACATCCTGGACAAGACCGTTCCTGCCAGCAATGGATCCTTTCACTCCTGCTGATCTCACCCCTAAAGCTACCTTGGGTCCTGCCAATTTCCACGGCTGGTTCTCGAAACATGCCTACTGGTTTTCAGAGCTGTCGGTTTCCTCACAACAACCTTGTGCTGCAGGCAACCGGAGTTGGGTTTTCCCCATTAGCAAGCAAAAATCCTTGTTGTCTTTTCCACATTACGGCCAGTTAAGGGCTCCTGGAGAAAGAGGCTGCTGGCCAGAAAGAGGAACAGAAGGGAGTGCAAGCCAGCAGATGCTCCAAGAGCAGGATGGACTCGCGTCAGCCAAGGTCAGCGGAAACTTAGATGCAGACGTCCGGGGGAGACAGAGGAAGAGAGGCCCATTTTTACACCCGTCCATTCCCTGCCCCCCCCAACCAGCAGATCCACCTCTGTCACCTCATCCAGCTTCCTAACAGGGCCTAGGCTTCAGGTCCTACCCTCCCCTTTGAAAGGCTCCAGACTGTCCAAGGCCAGTCTGCAGCGTCACAGGCCTGGTCCATCCATGTGCTTCCCCATCCACTAAGAAGTCCTGTCTCTCAACCAACCTGCCACCCCTGCCCGACCCTGCCAACACCCTTCCACAACGGGGTGGTGGGGGGATCTCCATTACTTTCAGCCCTACTGGACACACTTTCCAGCTGTGAGCTCAGACCTGCCTTCCCACGGTTGTCTATTGGATAATTGTCTTAGGTTGAAAAGCTCAAGTCGGGATGACCTGAAGTAGGGAATTAAGTCTTGTATCTTTTCATGGAAGTGCTCTTTTTAAAATAATCTGTACTTTTTTTTTTTTTTAAGATTTTATTTATTTATTTGAGAGAGAGAATGAGAGACAGCATGAGAGGGAAGAGGGTCAGAGGGAGAAGCAGACCCCCCGCTGAGCAGGGAGCCCGATGCGGGACTCGATCCCAGGACTCCAGGACCATGACCTGAGCCGAAGGCAGTCGCTTAACCGACTGAGCCACCCAGAGAGCCCGATGCGGGACTCGATCCCGGGACTCCAGGATCATGACCTGAGCTGAAGGCAGTCGCTTAACTGACTGAGCCACACAGGCGCCCAATGAAACTTTATTTATTTTTATAAAGATTTTATTTATTATTTGACAGAGAGAGAATGAGGGAGAGAGAGCACATGAGAGGGGGGAGGGTCAGAGGGAGAAGCAGACCCCCCGCTGAGCAGGGAGCCCGATGTGGGACTCGATCCCAGGACTCCAGGACCATGACCTGAGCCGAAGGCAGTCGCTTAACCAACTGAGCCACCCAGGCGCCCTAGTCTGTACTTTTTAATGCAAATATACGTGGACTTAACCATCCGAGCAAATGTTGGACCTAATTCAAATCATTGAGTTCTTCTAATTATGCTGTCATTTCTCCTCATATTTCTGAAACTCATTTTTGGTAGTTTCTTTTAAGCATCTAAAGCCTGATTTTTCTCATTTGGTGAATTTGTTCTGAGTATCTAGCATGCTCCAAGCTTTGGGCCAGGTATCAGTGAAGAAGAGGTGACGGTTCTCAAACTCCTGGCCTCAGAAAGGACACAGGTATGTAAGCAATTAGAAGAGATCCAGATAATCCATTCTTAAATAATCAAGTCTTTTAGGATTGTATATGATTTGCAAAAACTTCTTTACACTATCCCAAACTGTGAGCACATCAACGTCTTGTAAGAGTGGCCGTGTCTCCTCGACTATTATTTCCAGACGCTATTTCCAACAAAAGGAACCAGAGCTTTTTTTAGGAGAAATAGCTGATTTGAAGTCCGGAGCAGGGAACAGCCCGATGAGGTCCTTGGGTCAGGCCTGCTCGCTCGCTCTTCCTCTCCTCATTGCTAGCACTATAGCCTCTCCTGTGTGGACAGATCCCGATCCCAGGAAACTCCAACTCCTATGACCTAGTGCCTGGGGGGACGATGGGTTTCGGAGAGGGAAAATGGGGAACAGCAGGGGGTAAAACCTCTTCCTTTGTAGTGTATCACACGTGGGCACAGATGGGGTTCAGGTGGGGTTGCGAGAAGGCTGGCAGCCACTTTGAGAAGCAGAGAGCCTGAGGCTGAAGGAATGGGATGCAAGGCAGGATTGACAGGAAGGAGCAGTGAGGGAAAAGTCCCAGAGCTTGGGGATGGCAGGCCAGGAGGAGCACCCTGGACGCCAGTGTGGGTGGGATGGGGCAAGGTTGTGTGTGTGGTGCGGGGCAGTGGTGGTCACAGTGGTGAGCGGTGGAAGGGTACAGAGAGGTGTCCACACCTCTCCTAAATCAGGCTTTGTCTTAGGCTGGTCAGGGTCAGCAAGGCCTCCAAGTGCCTGGCACACGGCTGACTGTGTGGCTGGGAGTTAGCGTGGAATCTGAGACGTTTTCGGAGTGTTAGACGTCTGAGGGCTGAGGTTTGGGGTACGTGCCCTCACGATGCAGGACATTCCGAGGAGTCAGATGCAGAGAGTCACACTACTCCCCGGGGCTACGGGAGTGGCCGGTGTCTGTTTCCTGCAATCTTTTCAGGGGGTTCTTTCCCCCCCACACCATGAATGCTCAGCTGAACCCCGGAGGGGGGCCCCCGTGCAGATCTCCAGGTTCTTTCTGGTGCGACGCTCTGGTCTTCGGTATCCCGTCCCCCCAACTGAGGTGGGAGTGTATGAAACCTCTGCACGCGAGGGACTGCATTTTCCTTTCCAACTAACGAGCTCCTGAACTGGGCCGGAAGCAGCAACTGATGACAAATCGTTGCTCCTAACTTTTCTTTTCTTTTTTTTTTTTTTAAAGATTATTTATTTATTTATTCATGAGAGACAGAGAGAGAGAGGCAGAGGGAGAAGCAGGCTCCCAAGGAGCAGAGAGCCCGATGCGGGACTCGATCCCAGGACCCTGGGATCATGACCTGAGCCGAAGGCAGACGCTTAACCATCTGAGCCACCCAGGCACCCGCTCCTAACTTTTCAACAGAGCCGCCCGCATTCGAGTCAGAGGACGACAGTAAAGTTAGTTAATATGTAGTGGGGGCGGTTCCGTTTGATGAGGCCGCTGATCCTGAAGGTGGTCATCAGAAGTGGTCCAGCTGGTCAGCACCAATACTGCAGGGGTTTTTCTTCTCTTCGTCATCTAAAGCCTGTAATTCCCTCTTCCTCCTTTCTCATAAAAACCCCTCACTTTCCCTGCATGAGTGGCACACTTTTCTGGTTACTCCGGAATCTGTGTTCCCCCAAATTGCAATTCTGAGACCCCGAATAAGACCTTTGTTCCTTTCCAGGTTTGCTTCCTAAATAGTGTCAGAAGTGAGATCCAGGGGTGCCTGGGTGGCTCAGTCGGTGAAGCACCTGCCTTCGGCTCAGGTCATGTTCCCGGGTCCCGGGATCGAGCCCCGCATCCCGCTCCCTGCTCAGCGGGGAGCCTGCGTAGATTCGAGCCATTGCGCTCTGATAGTCCCCCGATGGCTCCGAGTTCCAGTGGTGAGTCCTCTCAGTTCTGGACCTCCCTCTTTTTGGTTGAGATTCAGCTTAGTTTTATTTGGGTGTCTTTCTGGTGACAGCTTCTGTCTGTCTGTCTGCCTGAACTACAGAGAGCTATGTTCTGTCTGGTGAATACTCAGCAGGGTCTTTGTTTTGGAAAATCGCTGCTGGAGAGAGCCCCTGCCTGGAGCCCCAGCTGGGTTATATGTTGTGAATCCATTTTATGTCAGTTTTAGTCTTACTGGACCCAGCTGAGCTGGTGTTGGAGTGGCCACTCTGGCCATCTTTTGAGATCCCCAAATTAGTTTATTTGCATGCACAATTGGAAAAAGAAAAGGAAACCAAGCAATTTGAATAGGAAGCATATTTCAATTGGTGTTTGGAGGTCTCCAAGAAATGAAATGATTCTCAACTTGCTTCCTTATAAGAGAATAACCCTAAACCTTCTAGAGCTGAGTCTGACCTCTCTCAGAGACTATCTAAAAAGCTCACTGAGAAACCACTACAGTTCCTCCTTCTCTGTCTCTCTCTCCTGCCCTCCGCCTAGGTATCCTGGTTTGGGCTGCACTTCATTCTGTAATAATTAGACAACCTGGAGGTTCCTCTAGAGCCTCCAGCCACCCAGGCTCCTTAATTTCATTTCATTTCATTTTATTTATTTATTTTATTTTTAATTTTATTTATTTTATTTTATTCTGGTGTAGTTAACATTACAGTGTAATATCAGTTTCAGGTGTACAATATAGTGATTCAACACTTCATACATGACCCGGTGCTCATCACAAGTGCACCCCTTAATCCCCATCACCTATTTCCCCCATCCCTCCCACCTTCCTCCCTTCTGATAACCATCAGTTTGTTCTCTGTAGTTAAGAGTCTGTTTCTTGGTTTGTCTTTCTCTTCTTTTTCCCCCTTTGCTCATTTGTTTTGTTTCTTAAATTCCACAGATGAGTGAGATCATCTGGTATCTGTCTTTCTCTGACTGACTTATTTTGCTTAGCCTTATACTCTCTAGCTCTATCCATGTCATTGCAAATGGCAAGATTTCGTTCTTTTTTGTGGCTGAATAATATTCCACGGTGTGTGTGTGTGTGTGTGTTTACACACCACCTCTTCTTTATTTTTTAATTTTTAATTTTTTTCTCAAAATTTTCTTTAAATTCTAGTTAGTTCACTTATAATGCAATATTGGTTTCAGTAGAATTTAGTGATTCATCACTTAGTGCTCATCATCACAAGTGCCCTCCTTAATACCCATCACCTATCTAGCCCGTCCCCCCACCCACCTCCCTCCATCAACCCTGTTTGTTCTCTATCTGAAGAGTCTCTTACGGTTTGCTTCCCTTTGTCTTCTTCCCTCCCCTTCCTATATGTTCATCTGTTTTGTTTCCTAAATTCCACATATGACTGAAATCATATGGTATTTGTCTTTCTCTGACTGATTTATTTTGCTTAGCATAATACAGTTTTGCTCCATCCATGTTGTTGCAAATGGCAAGATTTCATTTTTTTGATGGCTGAGTAGTATTCCATTGTACATATATACCACATCTTCTTTATCCATTCATCTGTCAATGGACATCTGGGTTCTTTCCATATTTTGGCTATTGTGGACATTGCTGCTATAAACAATGGGGTGCATGTGCCCCTTTGAATCTGTAATTTTTTTAAAGATTTTATTTATTTATTTGACACCGAGAGAGAGAAAGAGAGAAAGAAAGTGAGTGCATAAGCAGGGGGAATGGCAGAGGGAGAGGGAGAAGCAGACTCCCTGCAGAGCAGGGAGCCTGATGCAGGACTCCATCCCAGGACCCTGAGATCATGACCTGATCTGAAGGCAGTTGCTAAACTGACTGAGCCACCCAGGTGCCCCTGAATCTGTATTTTATATCCTTTGAGTAAATACCTTGTAGTGCTATTGCTGGATCATAGGGCAGTTCTATTTTTAGAACTTTTAAAAAATTTTTTAACTTTTAGAGGAACCTCCATACTGTTCCCCATATAGTTTGCACTCCCACCAACAGTGCGAGAGGGTTCCCCTTTCTTCGCATCCTCGCCAACACCTGTTGTTTCTTGTGTTGTTAATTTTAGCCATTCTGACAGGTATGAAGTGGTATCTCATTGTGGTTTTGATTTGTGTTCTCCTGATGATGAGTGATGTTAAGCATCTTTTCATGTGTCTGTTGGCCATCTGGATGTCTTTGGAAAAATGTCTATTCATGTCTTTCTAAACTGGATTATTTATTTTTTGGGTGTTGAGTTTGATAAATTTTTTATAGATTTTAGATACTATCCCTTTATCAGATATGGCATTTGCAAATATTTTCCCCCACTCTGTAGGCTGCTTTTTAGTTTTGTTGATTGTTTCCTTCGCTGTGCAGAAGCTTTTTATCTTGATGAGGTCCCAATAGTTCATTTTTGCCCTTGCTTCCCTTGCCTTTGGCGATGTTTCTAGGAAGAAGTTGCTTTGGCTGAGGTCAAAGAGGTTGCTGCCTGTGTTCTCCTTTAGGATTTTGATGGACTCCTGTCTCACATTGAGGTCTTTCAACCATTTGGAGTCTATTTTTGTGTGTGGTGTAGGGAAGTGGTCCAGTTTCATTCTTCTGCATGTGGCTATCCAGTTTTCCCAACACCATTTGTTGAAGAGACTGTCTTTTTTCCATTGGTCATTCTTTCCTGCTTTGTCGAAGATGAGTTGACCATAGAGTTGAGGATCCATTTCTGGGCTCTCTATTCTGTTCCATTGATCTATGTGTCTGTTTTTGTGCCAGTACCATACTGTCTTGATGATGACAGCTTTGTAATAGAGCTGGAAGTCCGGAATCGTGACGCCTCTTGCTTTGCTTTTCTTTTTCAACAGTCCTTTAACTATCTGGGGTCTTTTGTGGTTCTATACAAATTTTAGGATCCATTTATTCTAGCTCTGTGAAAAATGCTGGGGGTATTTTGGTAGGGATTACATTAAATGTGTAGATTGCTTTGGGTAGTGTAGACATTTTAACAATGTTTGTTCTTCCAATCCATGAGCTTGGAATTTCTTCCCATTTCTTTGTGTCCTCTTCAGTTTCTTTCATAAGTGTTCTGTAGTTTTCAGAGTACAGATCTTTTACCTCTTTGTTTAGATTTATTCCTAGGTATCTTATTATTTTTGGTGCAATTGTAAATAGGATCAATTACTTGAATTTCTCTCTTTTTTTTTTAAGATTTTATTTATTTATTTGAGAGAGAGAGAATGAGAGACAGAGAGCATGAGAGGGAGGAGGGTCAGAGGGAGAAGCAGACTCCCTGCCGAGCAGGGAGCCCGATGCGGGACTCGATCCTGTGACTCCAGGATCATGACCTGAGCCGAAGGCAGTTGCTTAACCAACTGAGCCACCCAGGCGCCCCTTGAATTTCTCTTTATGCTCCTTCATTTTTTGTGTATAGAAGTGCAACAGACTTTTGTGCATTGATTTTATATCCTGCAACTTTGATGAATTCCTGTATCAGTTCTAGCAATTTTTTGGTGGAGTTTTTTGGGTTTTCTACATAGAGTATCATGTCATCTGCAAAGAGTGAAAGTTTGACTTCTTCCTTGTTGATTTGGATGCCTTTTATTTCTTTTTGTTGTCTGGTTGCTGAGGCTAAGACTTCCAGTACTGTGTTAAATAGTCATAGTGAGAGTGGACATCCCTGTTGTGTTCCTGACCTTAGGGGAAAAGCTCTCAGTTTTTCCCGATTGAAGATATTAGCTCTGAGTCTTTCGTATATGGCCTTTATGATGTCGAGCTATGTTCCCTCTATTCCTACTTTGTTGAGGCTCTTTATCAAGAATGGGTGCTGTATTTGTCACATGCTTGTTTTTCTTGTTTGAGAGGATCATGGGTTCTTATCCTTTCTTTTATTAACATGGTATATATATATATCACATTGGTAGATTTGTGATATTGAACCAGCCCTGCAGCCCAGGAATAAATCCCACTTGATTGTGGTGAATAATTCTTTTAATGTATTGTTGAATTCAGTTTGCTGGTATCTTGTTGAGAATTTTTACATCCATGTTCATCAGGGTTATTGGCCTTTTTATTCTCCTTTTATTCTCCAGGTTATTCTCCTTTTTACTGAGGTCTTTGTTTGGTTTTAGAATCAAGGTAATGCTGGCCTTGTAGAATGAGTTTGGAAGTTTTGCTTCCATTTCTATTTTTCGGAACAGCTTGAGAAGAATATGTATTAACTCTTCTTTAAATGACTGTACACCACCTCTTCTTTATTCAGTGATCAGTCGATGGACACTTGGGCTGCTTCCATAATTTGGCTATTGTAGATAATGCTGCAATAAACACAGGGGTGCACCTATATCTCTTTATTACCGTTTTTGTATTCTTTTTGTATTCTCTACCCAGTAGTGTAATTGCTGGATCATAGGGTAGTTCTATTTTTAATTTTTTGAAGAACCTCCATACTGTTTTCCAGAGTGACTGTACCAGTTTGTATTCCCACCAACAGTGCACGAGGGTTCTTTTTTCTCCACATTCTCACCAACACTTGTTGTTTCTTATGTTTTTGATTTTAGCCATTCTCAGAGGTGTGAAATGATAGCTCATTATAGTTTTGATTTGCATTTCCCTGATGATGAATGATGTTGAACATCTTTTCATGTGTCTGTTGGCCATTTGTATGTCTCCTTTGGAGAAATGTCTGGTTATTTCTTCTGCCCATTTTAATCGGATTGTTTTTTGGATGTTGGTTTGTATAAGTTCTATATATTTTGGGTACTATCCCTTTATCAGATATGTCATTTGCAAATATCTCCTCCCATTCTGTAGGTTGTCTTTTAGTCTTGTTGATTGTTTCCTTGGCTGTGCAGAAGATTTTTATTTTGTTATGGTCCTAATAGTTTGTTTTTGTTTTTATTTCTCTTGCCTCAGGAGACATCTCTAGAAAAATGTTGCTAAAGCTGATGTCAGAGAAATTACTGCCTGTGTTCTCTTCTAGGATTTTTATGATTTCAGGTCTCACATTTAGATCCTTAATCCATTTTGAGTTTATTTTTGTGTATGTTGTAAGAAAGTGGTTCAGTTTCATTCTTTTGCATGTTGCTGTCCAGTTTTCCCAACATCAATTGTTGAAGAGTGTTTTTTTCTATCTCCCGATGGTATTGGTAAAATTAATTTCTAAAAGAGCTCCATTGAATTGGCTTAAAGAAAATAAGGTGCTTATATAAATTAAATTTGCAAAAATATAATAGAAATGAACCCAAGTAAGTTTTAAGTTTACATAAGCTAGGATTAATCTTTAATAAATAAAAACTCAGGTGCATCCCTGCAGCTTTCCTGTCTTAGGGAAAAGAACGATGCCCGAGGGATTTTTTTTTTTTTTTTGCTCCCAGACTCGGGAGGATGAAAGTCATTATTTGTAAATAGCCTGGCATAAGAAGGAGCCCGTGTCCAGCCTGGACATCCAGCATGGCAGAGCCGGGAGGATCCACAGACTGGCGTCTGCAGGCACAAACATCGCTGTTAGGATCTGGAAGGTGGAAAAAGGACCCGATGGAATTGTTGAATTTTTGTCCACTCTTGCTCATCATACCAAAGCTGTCAGGATCATGCGTTTTTCTCCAAATGGGGAAATTTTAGCATCAGGAGGAGATGGTGTTCTCAGTCTGTTGTGGACAGTAAATGATAACAAGGTGCCAAAATAGATCGCTTTTCAGGATGAGGATGAGGCTCAGCTGAATGAAGAGATTTGGACTGTTATCAATCCTGGGGGACCACTTAGAAGTTGTGTATGATATTTGTTGGGCTACCGATGGGAATTTAATGCCTCTGCCTCTGTGGAGGATGTGGCCATCCCATGGGATGTCAGTAAAGGACAAAAGATCTCCATTTTTAATGAACATAAAAGGTATGTCCAGGGATAGGAATATAAATAAAAGGAATAACGTGGGACCCTTGGGTCAGCCTGTTGCCGCTCTGAGCTGGGACAGGAACCTGAGGGCACACAGCATCCAGAAGACCTGTGACTCCCAATGCCTTGAAAATGCTGTGTCTGGGAGAGGGGCTGCGGGAGAGGGGAGAAGTTACCAGATGTTTCATGATGACGGCATGAAGTCGTTCAACCTAGACTTGTTTCACTCCTGATGGATCTTTGCTCCTCACGCCAGGTGGGTTTAACAAGCTTCTGATTTCAGGGCATCATGGCAGCTCCTGATTTGGTGATGCTGCTTTTCAGCTCAATGAATTCTGATTAAAAGAGCGATCCCCAGCTTGCTCAGGCACTGAAACCTCCAGGGGAGCATTCCAGTCAGGCTGGGCAGAGGAGCCCCAAGACAGTGAGTTGTACGTGCGTATGTATGATGCACATGGGCTTCAAAGCATCGTGGGCTGTGCTTTAAGAAGGACATTGGGGAACATGCGGGAAGGACATTGACTTGGTCGGGGAGCGGGGGTCTCAGAACCAAGAATAAGTGGTTGCTAAGTATATTAAAACTTATTTACTAAACTCAGTGACAAAGCTTTGCCAAATAGCAGCTCTAAAAATATTGTCAGTTAAAATCAGGTACCAGATGGGTGTCTGCTATCACCATCGTTATTCTTTGTGGTGTTAATACGTGCAGGAAAACGAGGAAATGGAGTTACAAAGATTGGAAAGGAAGAGAGAAAACTTTGCAATGGGATTATGTTTCTAGAAAATCCAAGAGATTTAAAAATAGAATAAAAAATTTTGATCAGGTGGCTGGATATTGTGAAATACAGAAAAATCTTCTATAGTGGAATAAGTACTTAGTGATATAAAAAGGAAAATTTTCCATTCATGATAATGCAAAACCCACAAACCATGGGAAAAAATTTAATAAAGACACAAAGCCTTTGTGAAGACTAGAAGGTCTTATTGAAGACTGTAAAGCAAGTTCTGAACTAAGAGATCTCCTGCTCTGAAAATTAACAAATGAATTAATTTGCACTTAGGATCCTTTAGGTTTTTTTTTTTTAATTGGATGACATCTCAGCTTTTTTAGGAGAATAAATGCTGAAGAATAGTTTTAAGCATGAAAAATAGGGGTGCCGGGGTGGCTTAGTTGGTTAAGTGTCTGCCTTTGGCTCAGGTCATGATCTCAGGGTCCTGAGATCAAGCCCCGGGTAGGACTCCATGCTCAATGGGGAGTCTCCTTCTCCCTCTTCCTCTGCTCCTCCCCCTACTTATGCTCTCTCTCTCTCTCAAATAAATAATTTTTTTTTTAAAGTGTGAAAATAAGAGTAATACTTGAGCACGCATTTTTCTGACTAAATCTCAGCAGATACTATGGTGCCACCATTATCAAATCAATATGGTATTAGTACAGGAATAAACAGATTAGTGGACCAGAACACAAACAGATCTTGAGATAAAAGGGAATTTAATAGCTGACCTGGGCAGTATTTCAATGGGAAGAATGAATTATTGAGTCAGTGGTGCTGGAATGTCCAACTGTCTGGAAGAAAAAGATATTGGACCCTTAACTTACACATACAAATAAATTCTAGGTGAATTCAATATTTAATATAAAGGTACAGATGTAAAACTCTCGCAAGAAAATGTAGGAGGACATCCTAGGAACGGGAAGCTGGAAATTCCGAAGCTCTACGTGAGAGACCTGTCTGACTGCGTTTGACTAGGGAACCTTTGTACGCAAAGATCTAGGAGGCGGAGTCAGTCAACAAAGAACAGAACTGGAGAATACTGTTTACGGTACAGGAAAGAGAGAGCCTATGTATATCATATACATTTAATGGCTCTTCCAACTTGACGAGAAGACAGAAGAGCCCAGAAGAAAAAAAATGAGTGAAAAATGCAGAAAGGCAGTTTGTAGAAGAGCAGATCTCTGTGTTCAGCACCCACAGGAAAAGATTCGGAAACTCAATAATGGAGAAATACAAATTAAAGTGACATACAATTAGGTATCTCTTTATTCTTTTCAGACTGGAAAGAAAGTGAAAATATCTACTGCTGATGAGCAAGCAGAATGTGGGTATTGCTGGTGGGAATGTGAGTGGTTACAGCTTTTTTTAGAAAACGGTCTGGTCACTGTTAAATGCATGTACGCTTTAGCCAATCGGCCCCTCGTCTTAGACTCCGTCTTTAAGAAATGAAACCCCTCCTCTTAGACTCAGTCTTTAAGAAATGAAAACATAGTACATAAAAGTATATCTTCAGTGATGTTTATTGCAAGTATGGTTCGTAGTTGTAAAAAAACTACTGATTAACAAGATGGGTGAATAAATTACGGAATTTTCATAGCAGTGACTATTAGGCAGCTAGTAAAAAGATGCATTAGTGCAATCCAAGTTAGCTTTCGTGAGGGGTCAACTGAGCAGGTTTAAACAAGACCCTGTGAAATTGACTAAAACCCCCACTGTATGAATATATATATGCGATTGAGTTGGCACTGGTTGTGATGGTTGGTGAGCATGGAGGAAAGACAGAAATGGTACAATAGTTTGTTCAAATGGGTTACATGGGGATGGAAGCGTGGGCTGGGGTAGGGGAGGGTAGAAAGAGGGCTGACAGGGTGTCTGCCCTCCCCAGTGGAGATGAGATGGTCCCATGTGAGATTAACGTGTGTAGTATGTCAAGAAAGGGTGTCCCAGGGCAGCTGTAGTTGGCGGTCATTCCATGGCTGGGTCTGGCCTGGTTGTCAGGACATCCGGCCGTGAGTGTGGAAGAGCACCAGCATGGGCTCTTCCCAGAGCAAGGTCAGCTGCTGCAGGGGGCTGGGGGATAGCAGAAGCCTGGGTCTCCCTGGCTCCATCAGGCAGGTGGGCAAGGCCAGGAGCAGGCTGTGGCTGGCAGCCAAGCTCAGAACCCAGGGGACAGAGCGGGGGGATCTAGTGATGGTGCTTCTCCAGCAGGAAGTGCTGGCCTCCCAGGCAGGGAGAGGTCTTCCGTATCAGGGCAGGTCCTCAAAAAAAAAAAAAAAAAAAAAGCCAAAAGGGAAAGAAAAACCCAAAACAAATTGAAGATGGTTTAATTAAAACTGGTATGTCTTTGGGCGCCTGGGTGGCTCAGTTGGATAAGCGACTGCCTTCGGCTCAGGTCATGATCCTGGAGTCCCTGGATCGAGTCCCGCATCGGGCTCCCTGCTTGGCAGGGAGTCTGCTTCTCCCTCTGACCCTCACCCTTCTCCTTCTCTCTCTCTCTGTCATTCTCTCTCTCTCAAAAATAAATTAAAACAACAACAACAAAAAAAAACCTGGTATGTCTTTAAAGTTGTCAGCATTAAATATAATGCATATATTCTACTCAGGTTTACTAAAAGTCAAATAAACTCATTATCCCTGTTCTAGAATTTGTCAGCAAGAAAGAGAACTTAGAGATGATGGTTAATGTCTCATGAGATTTTCATGTCTCTATTTAATGTCTCATGAAATTTTCATGAATTATCTAAACATTATTAAGAGCAAGTGAATTAATTAAATGTCAGATAGAAGTTTATAAATGAACTTTTCAATAATATTTATGTCTACTTAATAGTTTCCCCAATTTTTTGGAGGGTAACTTAAAACCTTAGTTTTGCTAAGTTAAATTACATGATGGATAGCATTAAATATCTAGATCATTTCCAAGTAAGATAAAATACGGAAACATTAATGATTAACCATATGTGTATCTACTTTTGACTTTCTCTTAGAGAGAAACTAAAGATTTTGGGTATGTTAGTAAACATGTTTTGTGCCATGCTGAGAAATCTGCTGTGCGGAGGCATATGTTTCTAAAAATTATTAAATGTATTCATAAATTTTATATAAAGAATGCTGGTATAATAATTTATAATTGTTTACTTCTTAGTTTTCACTAGAAATTAAGGCTTCTAAGGGTTAAGAATTCTAATAAATATGATGAAATGACTAGAAATAATAAGGGAACCATGTCTGTATGCAGAGAGAATGAGATGTGTGTTTTTGGTGAGAAAAGGGATGAGGAATGGAGATGCATTTTTTTGTTGAGGGAAAAAAAACTAGTTTTGTCCTAAAGTGAGGTTGGTTGTTTAAGGAGGAAAAACATAGACAAAATCTGAATGTAAAAAAAGAAAGCTGTAGAAAGTCTGTGAAAAAGGAATCTTGGGGAAGGAATTTTGTGTGGTCAGGGCTAAGAGTGGAATGCATGAGTTTTAATACCACAATACACTGGTGCAAGATGGAATTTGGTTTTTCTCTCTGTTAAAGTGATCAAGTTTTCTTACATTATTGGTGTGTTCTTAGTAAGAAATTGTAAGCAAAGTTTTTCTTTATCTTTATTGTAGTCTGCATAGAAAAACAGTCTCTATGTTTTGTCTTTATCAGGTCTTTGATTACTTAAGAAAACGGAATGTTCTTATAAGAGCAAATTTTGCTAACAACTATGTCTGCATTTGCCTTTAGAATCTTTTGTTGTCACTTCAGTTCAGTAGATAATTATTCAGCTTTATAATGATCTGTGATCCTCTTCAGTTATGTGCTTTTAAAACCTTCTGATATTTTTGACAGACTTCCCCAAATTCAAATTCTATATGAAGTCTTTTTGACTAATTAGACTCATTTATTTGGTATGTTCAATTACAAGAGAAGCATTGTCAGGTAAGTGATAATAAGCCTTCTTAGGTTATAGTGTATGAGGGAATGCTGTTAATACAACTATTCCAGAAATTGTATGAAGTTCCTAAAGTTTTGATATGTCCTGGCATAATGTTATCGCTTGTATTTCTAGTAGGGAACTATTTGTTGTGTGTCACAGAATAACCCAATTTCCTTGTCAATTGTGTCGTCAGGAACCCTCATCAGATCTTTAAGCATTGGCCATTTTTGAGTCTTTGTCATTTAGGGTTATTGTTTTACTCTGATGCTCTTGGAAATGTCTTTCTTCTTCAAGGAGATTCATGGAAAGAACTTTTGACAAATACAGGTTTCTGATACCCTTAATATTATAAAACTAAACTCCCAGTACTAGTAAGAACTCCCAGAACGGGTGGGAAATCTGGATTCCAACAGAACAAGAATTAACACAGGACTGAATGGATTGAGGAAGATGTTAGTAGTTGTTATGACTCTTGTTTGAAATATTCCATTCCCTAATATTTGTTCTCCCAGATTTAGGAAAATTTTTTCTCTTAAGGTATCTACAACTTACAGAAATTTGGTAATATATTCCTTTATAAACAAATATGAAGCATTTGTCTTTTTCTCCCTACTCGATCCCTCCAGAATTTGGAAACTCTCAGTGAGTGTTTTTATTTTCACGGCAATTATAGTCATTTCCATAAGTTCAATAAAAATCTCTTCTGCTTGGAATAGGACAAAATTGGAAATAATGGTTATATTACCAAGGCTTTGACTGAAAGGTCATCTTTGAGAGGCAAAGACTCAGATATGACCAGGCAGCTTTAAGGAACTGAGGTTGGCTTTATGGAGCTAATAAAGCCCCTTGGAAAAAATCAGCCTGGTACCTTATTTACAGGGTTCCCAGCAACCTTACCAGGTGAGCAAGGAAGGTCACTTCTTGGCAGGCTCAGGAACCTCAGGATATTTTGGGGACCTTGAGAAGAGAGGAGGAATTCACCCAAATCTATGGGTATTGTAGGTCAAGTCTGATGGCAAGGATTTGGCTTGGCTTCTGGCCTTGATAGGCTATTAAAAGTTCAGTCTGGACCTTCCTTATGAAATGTTCCAGCAAAGCAGGTTTTTTTTTTTTTTTAAAGATTTTATTTATTTGACAGAGAGAGACACAGCGAGGGAGGGAACACAAGCAGGGGGAGTGGGAGAGGGAGAAGCAGGCTTCCCGCTGAGCAGGGAGCCCGATGCGGGGCTTGATCCCAGGACCCTGGGATCATGACGTGAGCCAAAGGCAGACGCTTAACGACTGAGCCACCCAGGCACCCCGCAAAGCAGGTTTTAAAGAGTCGACATGGTCAACCCCTATTCTTGCCGCACTTATGTAAATAATTAGACCAAGTTTTGTGAAAACTGGACTTATTTTACAAACAAATTTATCTTTTTTTTTTTTTTTAAAGATTTTATTTATTTGACAGAGAGAGACACAGCGAGGGAGGGAACACAGCAGGGGGAGTGGGAGAGGGAGAAGCAGGCTCCTGGCCGAGCAGGGAGCCCAATGCAGGACTCGATCCCAGGACCCTGGGATCATGACCTGAGCCGAAGGCAGACGCTTAACAACTGAGCCACCCAGTCGCCCCTTAACAAATTTATCTTAATTTAGCTATCCTTGATGGAAATTAGGGGGAAATCAGGGGGATTTTAGAGAAAAACATTGTTTACTAACACATTTTTGTTAGCTTCTCGTTCTGATGGACTTTGAATGTGTGCTGTTTTCTGATGAAACTGGGCTGGATCCTGAATTCTTCTGGTTTCCTTGAGTATCTGACTGTGACTCTCCAAACAAAGGTTTCCCGTTTTGTCCCGTTTTTTTTCTCACTTGGAGTCTTTGGGAACTGAAGCTGCCCTTTCCCCCTGAAGGCCTGCAGACTGAAGCTAGACAACTTGAGGTAAACTTCAGAGAAATTACCAGAACAGCCCATGTTGAGAGAAGATCAGGAGATACTCAAAGGGCAGAGCAGAAAAACCTGTGGGACGGCCACTGCCTGCCCCCACTGCATCGAGGTGCCTTGGGCCTGGCTTCCAGAAACCTCGGTGGCAGCATGGGGCTGATCATTTGCTCCAGCCATTAACCTGTGTTTTCCTTTTGTTGCCATAGAAATGCCTCTTATCAAATAGCTAATTGCTGACACAGTCCGGGCCCGACTTTGGGAGCCCCCCTGTAAGGCCACCCCTGGAAAAGAGGCAACCGTTTAACTGAACAAAACTCGAGCTGGTTCATAAAGTATGCAGCGGACTTCCTAGGTCCAGAACAGAGCGTTTCAGCTCCAGCCATGAGGGAACAATGCTGATCTGGGATGTGTTTCTAAGAACAAAAATCTTGATCGGGAGGGGGAATTATGGGATTGCCTAAAACCTCTGGACATGAGGGACTCCATTTTTCATTCCAACTAACGAACTCCTAAACTGGAGTTCAGCAGCCAGTGATGACAAAGGGTTGAGCCGCCCGCATTCGGGTCAGAGGACGACAGTAAAGTTGATGAATACATAGCAGGGGTGGTTCCGTTTGATGGGGCCACTAGTCCCTAAGATAGTCATCACGAGCAGTTCAACTGATCAGCCCCAGTGCGGGAGGGTTTTTCCCCCCTCTCTCTTTTACGTAAATCCTGTAATTCCCTCTTCCTTCCTTCTCATAAAAAGCCCTTGCTTTCCCTGCGCGAGTGGGACACTTTCCTGGTTATTCTGGAATCTGTGCTCCCCCGAATTGCAATTCTGAGACCCCGAGTCAAGACCCTCGTTCCTTCTCAGTTTGGCCTCCGTTTCTCAGGTGGACAAACTCCGACAGCCTCCAACTCTCCAGCCCCTCAGCAGTTTCCGCAAGTCAGGGAGACTTCTGGAAAGGTGTCTCTTCCCCGCTCTGCGCCCTGGAAACTCCAAACGGTCAGCTGGGGCAATCATTCTGCTCACCTCACTGGTTCACTTGTCTCTTAGAGATCACTGTTTTTTATTGTCCAATTTATTTTGAGCACCGTTCTTTCAGCTATTTGGTCCCCCCTGCACCCTTTTATATTTGGTTGTTTCAAACAAGAGGGTAATAATTGGTTGAAACACTTTAAATAAAAGATCCAAGCTAATTTCAAGGTGTAATTAATAAAAAATTAAAGCGTTAAAGAGATGGAATAAACCTTAATAATTGGTTGAAACACTTTAAATAAAAGATCCAAGCTAATTTCAGGGTGTAATTAATAAAAAATTAAAGCGTCAGACAGGAGGGTAAATCTGATCCCTCGTCTCCTCCATTTTAGCCAGCCGTGGAAACACATGGGTCATTTTTGATGCTTTTGTTTCCTACTTATTTTTGGTTTTAATTTACATTTCTCTCATCTAATGCTAATGTGGGGCACTTTTTCATGTGCTCATTGGCCAGTGGTTCATCTTTTTTGATGAAATGTCTGTTTAAAACTTGTGCCTTTTTTTTTTTAATTGGGCTGCTTATTTTTTTGTTCTTGAGTTGTAGGAATTCTTGTGTTGTATATCGTGAGCATGAGTTTTTCATCAGATGTGTGTTTTGCACATATTTTCTTCCTGTCTATAGCTTACCTATTCATTTTTCTTTTTTTTTTTTAAATATATTTATTTAACAACATCTTTTGTTAAGCAGAAGTTTAAAAAGTTTTTGGTGAAGCCTAATTTATTAGTGTCTCTTTTATGGTAATGCTTTCTGTGTCATTTTTTTTAAAGATTTTATTTATTTATTTGAGAGAGAGAATGAGGGAGAGCGAGTACATGAGAGGGGGGAGGGTCAGAGGGAGAAGTAGACTCCCCGCCGAGCAGGGAGCCCGATGTGGGACTCGATCCAGGGACTCCAGGATCATGACCTGAGCCGAAGGCAGTCGCTTAACCAACTGAGCCACCCAGGCGCCCTCTGTGTCATTTTTAAGAAATCTTTGTGTACCTCCAAATCATGAAGTTATTCTTCATTACTTCTTCCAAAAACTTTATAGTTTCATGTTTCAGTTTATCTCAGATTAATTTTTTATATGGTGTGAGCTAGGGATAAAGATTAATTTTTTTCCCCATATGAACATCCAGCTATTCTAACACCATTTGCTGAAAAATAACAAAGGACTCCTAGTCTTTGTTTTGTTTTTATTCCACTTTTGAAATATTTTTATTTTTTATTATTAATTTTTAAAAGTTTTAATTCTAGCATAGTAGCATACCTTAGTTTCAGAAGTACAATGTAGTGATTCAGCAATTCTATACATTACTCAGTGCTCTCCATGATAAGTGTGCTCTTAATCCGCTTCCCCTGTGTCCCCATCCCCCACCCGCCACCCCTCTGGTGACCATCAGTTTGTTCTCTAGAGTTAGGGGTCTGTTTTTTGGTTTGTCTTTTTTTTTTTCCTTTGTTTGTTTTGTTTCTTAAATTCCACATATGAGTGAAATCATATGGTATTTGTCTTTCTTTGCCTGATTTATTTTGCTTAGCGTTATACCCTCTAGCTCCATCCACGTCATTGCAAATGGCAAGATTTCATTCTTTTTTATGGCTGAGTAATAGTGCATTGTGTAGGTATATACCACATCTTCTTTATCCATTCATCAGTCGATAGGCGCTTCCATAATTTGGCTATTGTATATATGCTGCTATAAACATCTGGGTGCATGTATCCCTTTGGATTAGTGTTTTTGTGTTCTTTGGGTAAATACCCAGTAGTGCGATTACTGGATCATAGGGTAGTTCTGTTTTTAACTTTTTGAGGAACCTCCATACTATTCTCCATACAGTTTGCATTCCCACCAACAGTGCACGAGGGTTCCTTTTTCTCCACATCCTCTCCAACGCCTGTTGTTTCTTGAGTTCTTGATTTTAGCCATTGCTGACAGGTGTGAGGTGATATCTTGTTGTGGTTTATGACTTCAAATGGGTTCTATTCTATCCCAATCTAATTTTTCAATCCTTTCCTAGTATCATACTGTCTTCACTCTAGTTTTATAATAAGTTTTGAAGTCAGGTATTATAAGTCTTCCAACTTTATTCTTTTTCAAGATTGCTTTGGCTATTTAGGTCCTTTGTATTTCTATGAATCTTAGAGTAAACTTGTCAATTTCTACAAAAAAAATGTTAGTGAGATTATGATTGGAAATGCACTGAATCTATTGAATCAAGAGATCAATTTGGGGAGAATTGGCATGTTAACAACAGAGTCTTCTGATCCTTGATACTTTAGGGTTGCTATTTTTGTAGGGTTTTAATTGATATATAATGGAATTTTGATGGAATATCCTGGGTTTGATACTCTTCTAGGATTTTATCCCTTTCATCTACATATTTATGTTTATTGGCACAAAGATTTTTATACTATTATTTTATCTTTTTAATGTCTGCAACACCTACAGTATAATCTCTTCTCCCTGGTAATGGTGACTTGTGTCTTTTCTCTCTTTTGTCCTTGACCAGTAAAATTACTAGAGACTTTTTGATTTTGTTTTGATCTTTTCAAAGAACTAACTTTTAAGTAGATTATTTTGAATAGATCTCTATTGTATTTTTCTAGCTTATAAAATTCCACTCTTTATTATTTCCTTTTTCTTTATTTTGCAGTTCTTTTTCTAAGTACTTGGACTCAATTTTTAGCTCATTAAATTTCAGACTTTTTTTCTAATGTCCGTGTTTCCCTCTACATCCTGCTTCAAATGAATCCCTCAAGTTTGATATGTATGTTTTTATTAGTATTTAGTTCTAAATAATTTCTGATCTATTATGATTTATTTTTGACCAATATATTATATTAAAATGTCTCTTACTTTCCAACCATGAATTTTACTAGTTATCATTTTGTTTTTGATTCTGAGCTTAGTTGCATTATGATATATGCAATCTTGTATCTCTGTATGATATTATTCCTTGGAAATTTGTGAAGATGAAGCCTGTGTATGATCAGTTATTATAACTCTTACATGTGTGCAGGAAAATAATTCTGCAGTTGTTGAGTGGTATGTTATATATGATACTTATATCTATCTATGTCTTTTTGTTGTTGTTGTTGTTGTTGTTATTTCAAACAGGAGGGTAACTTTGGTCCCTGTTATTCCACCTTGACCAGAAGTAGAAATACATGAAGTCATTCTTAATGCTTTTGTTTCCTACTCGTTTTTGGTTTTAATTTACATTTCTTTGATGCCTAATGATACTGTTGGGCACTTTTTCATGCGCCCATTGACCGTGTGTGTGTGTGCGCGCGCGCGCGCGTGTGTAGAATCTTCATTAGGTCAGGTGTGGTCGTTGTGATATTCAAACCGTCTTCATCATTACTAATTTTTTTTCTCTTGACACGTTCCAACATTTTTTCGTACCTTTGGGGGCTACTATTTCTCTGACAATGGCTCAAGTTAGTCTGGAAGCGGGACACAACTCAATACAACATTCTCTCTAAGGCCACTTAGGGCCGGGGGAAGGTACGGCCCTCTCTCAGGGGCCAAGTGGGGCCGAGTGGGGGCCGAGCGCGGGGCGAGGACAGGGGACGGGGGCGAGTGCGCGTGGGGCGGCGAGGGCGCGCGGGGAGCGAGCGCGCGCGGGAGGCGAGGGCGCGGGGAGTGGCGAGGGCGCGCGGGGGGGGGCGGCCGAGGGCGCGCGGGGGCCGAGCGCGCGGGGTGCTAGCGCGGCGCCTGCTCGCGGAGCGGCGAGGGCGCCAAAGAGCAGCGCGCACTCCTCCGCGCGCGGCGCTCGAGCCCAGCCAGGGATGGCCGGCCTCGGCGAGGGGGTGGCAGGCGAGGTCGCAGATAGCTCCAAGTCGGCCACGGTGTGTGACGCGGCGGGGAGGAGCCTTCCCGAGTTCTCCATCCTCACGCCCGGGCTGCGCGGGCCGGTGACTCCCTTTCCCACGCGGTTCCCAGCCTGTCTCCCCTGGTGGATGCTGCTTTCTGTTCCCTGACTCTGGTGCCTTTCCCTCGCGGCCCTGGGTCTGCAGCCTCCCTCCTGCGGCGCCTGCCCCTCCGGGGGGAGTCTGGGGGCCCCTCGCCTCCAGAAGCCCTCCCGTGGTTCCCCCGGAGGAGAAGGCCTCACTTGTTGGCGGACCTGCCGCGACGGTGCCCTCCGGAGACGAATTAAAACACATTTTTATCCGCTGCTTCTATCAGTTACTGAGAGGACTGTTTAAAAATCTACTGTGATTTTGAATTCGCCTGTGACTCCTCATAGTTTTGTATAGTGTGTCTTGAGGCTGTTATTAGTGTATGTAAATTTAAAATTATGATAGTTTCTGGGGCGCCTGGGTGGCTCAGTCGGTTAAGCGTGTGTTTTTCAGCTCAGGGCTCAGGTCGTGATCCCAGGGTCCTGGGATTGAGCCCCGGTTAGGGCTCCCTGCTCAATGGGGAGTCTTCTCTTTCTCCCTCTTCCCCACCCCAGCTCATGGTCTGTCTCTGGCTTGTTCGGTCGCTCTCTCTCAAATAAATAAAAATAAAATCTTAAAAAAAAAAAATTGTGATGGTTTCTGATGAATTGATCCTTTTATCTTTATGAAATGCCTCTCTTTGGCAATGTTTGTTGCTTAAAACATGCTTTCTTTATTGTTAATATGGCTATATCAGTGTTCTCTGCTTAGAATTTGCTTGATAACTCCTTTATACATACATTGCATATGTATAAGTATGTAAACACACGTATTTCAGGCCTCAGGCACATAGAATTGGATTAACTGTAACACTGTGGACCTTCTCATGCAGTCTGTTGGTTTTTGTTTTTTTGTTTTGTTTTTTGCTGGTCCTTTCTTATGGGGCTTTAATAATTGAGCACTATCAATTGCTTGATGCTTTGGAACTTTGCCTGCAGAAATTATCATTAGCTGAGTTAGAGGTGGAACCCTCCAGACGGGATCAGCATTTGCTTCTTCCAGGTTTATGGGAGCTACTAGTCTGGGGTTGCTCTCAACTAAATGATCCCCAAGAGGTTTGCCCAGTTCCCCCAGCTGGTGTGAATTCAGACTGAAAACACTCATGAAGGCTAGCTTCTATTTTTTTTCTTTCTCCTACTTATTAGCACTAAAATTTGAGCTAGTAATTTTCTTGCCTATCTTCTGGAGCTGGGGTTGAGATGGGAGAAGTGGGGAATTGAGGAGCAAAACTAGTTTATGTCTACATTCATTCTTAAATTGATGGTTTTACCCACTGGGATTGCTTTTGGGGGGAAGATCTCTTGTTAGACTCCCCAACTGGCTTCTAGAATTGTGAGGGGATACATCATTTCTGTGATTTTAAGCCACCTGGTTTGTGAGAACTTGTTTCTGCAGCCCTAGGAAACTAATAACTCGCTTTACACCCTCTCTCTGCTCCAATAAGTTTTAAAAGCCTGCAGTCTAGTTTCGCATCAGTTACCATCAAGAAATGACAATGAGCTGAGAGAACTGGAGCGGGGCTTCTATGGGGGCCACTCCCAGCTTCAAGAGTTTCCTGGTGGTGAGGATTAAATGCCTAAAGCTTTCAACAAGTAGAAAGCTTTTCCTAACTCTCGACATTGCTTTAACATGAGTCGCATTCAGGTTTGGCCCTTGACGTCAGCTCCCTCTCCTCCCTCGTCTATAATAGTATTTTTAATGTTTGACCCTTCTTCCTGCCCCCTCCTTCACACCTCTCTCATCTCCCTCCACACTCATTGAAAAAAGCCTCTCTGAAACGTCCACAGTGACTCTGAACTTGGCAGAAAAGTCATTTTTATCCAGTGAAGACCAAAAAAAAAAAAAAAATAGTTGCTAGATTTTGGATAGCTTTATTTATCACAGCAGCTCTCTGAGGTAGGTATCGTTGGGACCATTTTATCAAAAAAGACAGTTTTTCTGTTTTTCCCCAGTTAGAATCAAAGAAGAACCAGAAGGAGCCTCAGAGCTGCTGGCCTGTTTTATTAATTTGTTAAACAGTGCTCGCCTCGGCAGCACATATATTAATTTGTTAAACAGTTCTGAGTGACTATGATATACTAGATTCTAAGATGCTCGGGGGATTCAGATGTAATTGGTCTATTCCAGGCTTCACCTGCTGGTGAGCAACTGTCTATTGCTATTAGCAACAGTGTAGCAATTTTGTAGCATTAAGAAATATGTTAATTTTAAACCAAGGTAATTATAAGTAGGCATTTTTTACACATTCCAAAAAAATGTAAATGGACAAAAGTGTGTTGTAGAGTCCTATTTCTGTTGGTACCTATAAATCTACTTTATTCATAACTGCTGTGTAGTATTTCATGGAAGAATGTGCCATAAAATTGTTTATTCCTCTGTTGGTATTTTGTTGCAATAGACATCTTTTTGTACCAGTGCTAAAGTATGTCTTTAAAAAACTTATATAGGAGTAGAGTTGCTGAGTCAGAGGATATTTATATTTTGATTTAATAGATACTGTCAAATTTCCCTGCCAAGCTACCAGTTTATACTCCTGTGATTATTATGAACATAGACCTTTCCCAGCGTGCTCACCAACACTGCATAATACTCATCTTTAAAATTCTGTCAATCTGAAGGGTGAAAATGACAATTTGTTTTGATGGGAGGAGGGCAGAAGAGAAGGTTAAGGAAGATTTTCACTTTCTTCTCTTTGTATCTGTTGGGAGGCAAATCTGGACGGGCTAGGCACCTCCTCCTTCTGCCAGGCTGAGCTGGCCTGAGCTGGTCTGCAGAGGGGCAGCAAGGCTTCTGGCTCATGTTAGCATTCTGGGTGTGCAGAGGCTCTCCTAGATTGTTCCAGGGCCCTCTGTATGCAGACTTTGACCTTCATTGTAGGCGTGGGCCCTCCCTATGCATTTTCCCTACTCTCCTCTCTGGGCCAAGAGCTCCCATCTTTCATTTCTCATGACGCAGAGAACCAAAGTATTCCATAGGCCAGCATAAGTTTGTAACAGCCTAGATGTGTAATGTGGTGTGAGGTCACGTCCTTTCTCTTGTGCATCCAGATTGCTGTACAAGGCTGGCCATCCTCTGCTGGACTTTGGCCTTGGTGTATGTAGACCATCTATGCCTGGCTCATGCTGTGGGGAAATGAGAGTTTGGGGGATTCCATGTGCTCCGTTACTTTCCTCTAATAGAGCCCTTGTTGCACTGTGTTAGTACTGTTGAAATTAGGGCTCTGTGTCTGACCCCCCAAGCATGACAATACTTGTAATGCTCTCATTTTATACTAATGGGAAACTTAATTTAAGCATCACTTGAGCAATTTTTTTTTCCAGTAAAGAAAGCAATCATTTATTATGTTCACAGAGTCTGTGGGTCAGGCATTCTCAGACAGGGCACACCAGGGACAACTTGTTTCTGCCACGTGCTGTCTGGAGCCTCAGCTGGGAGACTGGCGCAGCTGGGGATGGAAGCATTGGAAAGCTTGCGCCTTCACATGTCTGGGAACGATGGAGGCTTAGCCCTTAGCTGGATTGCCAGACACCTCCGTGTGGTTCCTTCCTGTGGCCCAGGTCCCTCGTAACGTGGGGACTGGCTTCCAAGGACAGGCCCACAAGAGAAGGCCAGGTAGAAGCTGTGGTATTTTACACCAAGCTTCAGAAGCCATGTAGTGTCACTTCCCTCAGTCTGTTGCGTGGGGCAGTCACAGGCTCCCACCCACATGGGAGGGGAGGAACACAGACACCACACAGCCCAGTGGGAGGAAATCAGGCACACTGTAAGAATAGCCTGTGGGAAGTTGTGGTCATCTTTGGAAAATAAAATCTGCCACTTCCCCTCATTCCTATGAAAGAAAGCATTCTCTTAATTTCCAGACTGGAAGACGTTGGGTCAAATATTTCCCACCAGACAAATGGAAGATTGAAACTGCTGGAATGATAGGGGATAACACATTTATCTCTGCAAACGAGTCTAATTCTAGCAACTCCTTGATTATATATTGTTTGTTTATTGTAGCTTCCCCGAAATAAATATCCTAAGAAAAATCATTTTCTTTATATTTATTATTGACCTTCAAAACTGCTGATCCTTGATCAACCCCACACACAGTTATTATATTCTTCTTAATGTTTTCTCACTACTTAGCAAGATCACCAGGAAGACGAGTGGCTAGAGATGCCTTTTGTG